ACGGAGTCTTGTCGGTGGCAGTGCGGGGTGTTGTACGATGGGACCAAAGTACACCATCGAGCGCATCGGCCCAAAGTCCTTTCTTAGCGTCGAGTCGTTTCTTGATTCCGTCGAGGATGGTTTTGTTGGTTGCTTCTGCTTGACTGTTTCCTTGAGGATAGCGTGGGGTGGATTTGCTTAGCCGTATCTTCCATAACTCACAGAAGTCTTCGAACTTCTTGGAGATGAATTGGGGGCCGTTGTCCGTGACGATCTCGTAAGGTAGCCCGTGGTGGCAGATGATGTACTTCCAGACGAAATTCTGAACCTCTTTGTCTTGAATTCGAATGAATGCCTTGGCCTCCACCCACTTTGTGAAGTAATCCGTCATGATGAGCATATATTTCCTTTGACGCGAGGAAAGAAGTGGTCCGACGATGTCCATAGCCCATAGCATGAAGGGATATGGCGGGACGGCCGATGTAAGTAGCTCGGTGGGCTGGTTGATCATCGGAGCGTGCCTTTGACAATACTCGCACTTTTTCGCATTGTCTTTGCAATCTGCCATCATCGTTGGCCAGAAATAGCCTGACTTCTTGATCTTCATGACGAGGGCCCAGCCTCCGGTCGGGTATCGAAGTTCCGCACCGTCCAAGCTCTTACTAACGTAGAAGACCGGCTTCTGTTCACCACGGTCTTATCGGACGAGAACACCGCTAATGGCCGAGCTTGATAATGCTACGTATAGGTAAAGCGTTTCGCCGTCTTTGGGTTTTGCGAGCTCGGGGGGCGTTGAGAGGTAAAGCTTCAGTTGTTTGAAGGCTTCTTCGCACTTGTCGTCCCAGAGGAAGCGTTTGTTGCTGCAGAGAAGTTGGTAGAACGGGAGGTATTTGTCCGTGGATCGGGAGATAAAACGATTGAGGGCGGCGATCCGTCCGGTCAGCCTTTGGACCTCATGTGTGTTGCGTGGCGAGGGTAGCTCGAGGATGGCTGAGATTTTCTTCGGGTTTGCTTCTATGCCTCGTTGAGTGACCAGATAACCAAGGAACTCGCCGGATGTGACCGCGAAGGTGCACTTCGCGGGATTCAGCTTCATCCCGTAGGTGTTAAGGATTTGGAAACATTCGCGTAAGTGGGTGATGTGATGGTCGGCCTTTAGTGACTTGACAAGCATGTCATCGATGTAGACCTCCATTGTGTGTCCGAGCTGGTCGGCGAACATCTTGTTAACCAGCCTCTGGTAAGTAGCACCGGCGTTTTTGAGTCCGAACGGCATCACTTTGTAGCAGTACGTTCCTCTGTTCGTGATGAATGAGGTCTTTTCCCGGTCTGAGGGGTGCATCATGATCTGATTGTACCCCGAGAATGCATCCATGAGGGATAGCAGCTCGTTGCCGGCGGTTGCTTCTACGAGTTGATCGATGCGAGGCAGCGGGAAGCTATCCTTAGGTCAGGCCTTGTTGAGATCCGTGAAGTCGATGCAAACGCGCCATTTGCCGTTCTTCTTTTTTACTACCACGGGGTTGGCAAGCCAGTCCGGATATTACACCTCTTGAATTGATCCGGCGGCGAGTAGCTTCTCAACTTCATCCTGGACGGTTTGAGCTCGCTCGAGACCGAGCTTGCGCCTTTTCTGTTTGATGGGTTTGAACGTAACGTCGACGTTCAGCTCGTGGCTGGTGATGGTCGGACTGATCCCCTTCATATCCGCCATTAACCATGCGAATGTGTTGACATTCTCACGGAGGAAGGCTATGAGGTCGTCGCGCATACTGGGAAGAAGCTCGGTACCAATTCCGACACATCGTTCGTGGCGCTCAATGTCGATGTACGACCAGGTCGTTCTTTGGCTTCTTGTGATGCATGACTCGGGGTCCATATTATCGATAACGAATGTAGACGAGTGCTGGACTCGATGTTCGGTGATGTAGCAAGACCGGGACTCGCGCTGGTCGCCCCTGATCGTGATGATTTTCTTTCTGCCCGGGTACTTCAGACATTGATGATATGGTGAAGTAACAACTCGCATGGTACTGATCCAAGGCATCCCAAGGATGACATTGTAAATGGCCGGTCTGTCGATGACATCGAATTTGATCATGGTGACGATGCCTCCCTCGGTCGTGATGGGCAGTTTGATTGTGCCGTGAGTGCTTTCGGGGCGACCTTGATTTTGCTGTTTTTGATCTCCATCTGGATTAGTGTTATCTTGAATATGAGATCGACAGAGCTGCCTGTGTCGACCAAGATGTTCGAGACATCATCCGATCCGATACAGAGGGAGATAACGAGCGGGTCGTTGTGCGGGCGGTCTAGACCTTCGGCGTCTGCTCCGTGAAGGTGATGGGCAGGGTGTCGTCGTAGACCGGCGTCTCTTTCTTAGCATTCGTGGCACGGCATTCATGCTTTTTGATCGAGTTGATCGAGTCGTTGCATGTAAGGAGGCCGCCTATGATCATCTTGATCCTGCGTCGAGGTGACGGGAGTGCTGGTGGTGGTGGAGGCGAGTCCTCCCGTGCACGCTTGGGATTCTCGTCAGGACGGGTCTGTTCCTGATGCGCGGGGGCGCGTCGGTCGTCAGCCCGAGGGCGGGCTTGATCGGCACGGGGTCGGCGTGAGTATCCGTCTCGTAGTCGGTCATCCAGTTTGATCCTATCGGCCAACCATTCTTGCATGAGGACGTCTCGAAGGTGGCGGCATTCGGTGTCGTCGTGGCCAGAGCGCTTGTGCCAGATGCAATAAGGTTGCAATCCAGAGGTGTCGCCCGAGGAGTTTACCCATTTGTTCCATGGGTGAGGTCGGCTGATGGTCGAGACGTTGGCCTTGCGAGCCTTGTCGTCGCGATCGTAGTGTTGGCGGGGTTCCTGATATTCCTCTTCTTTAGGTCGGGAGCTAGTAGACTTCTTCTTTGCTGCGAGTCTCTCGTCTTCTCTTGTTTGTGTATCCTCCAGGTTCATGAATTTTGTGGCTTTGTGGAGGAGTTCGTCGAGGGATGTAGTTTTGCCTGTTGTCACTTTGTCGTAGAATTTTTGGTTCTTGCGAAGGTTGAGGCCGAGTGCTATCAGGGCGTTCTCGTCTGTTGGGTCGCATCGTGCGACGACGGCGCGGAAACGGCCGATGTACTCGCGGAGAGTTTCCTTTTCGTCCTGGACGCATGTCCAAAGTTCGGCGGTGTTGCCTCTTTGCTCGATATATATGGAGTAGTGGCAGAGGAATTCCAATGAGAGTTAGGCAAACGTCTCGATGGAGTTCGGTTTGAGCTTGGAGAACCACTGGAGGGCGTTCCCGGCAAGGGATTCCACGAAATATTGGCAGAGGGAGGCGTCATGTTCTTCTGGTGAGAACCGGGCTCGGTTCATCGCGTTATTAAAGGTCATGAGATGTTTTTACGGGTCCGTGTTGCTGACGAATGACGCTGGAAGCTTCAGGTTCACGGTGTCTCGGAGGGGTACGCGGGTGATACAGTCTGCGAACAGCGTCTGTTGAGTAAGCTTTAGGACCTTCTCAAGCTCGGGGGCCGAACTGGTCGCGTGGTGGACTTGAGATTTGATTTCGTTGATCCTTTGGTGGAGACGGGTGAGCTCGGCTTGTTCGGGGTCTCGTGGGGGTAGAGTCTGGGGCGGACAGGCGGGATTTGTGCTTAGATCGCGCGCTGGAGTCCTTCACGTGCTGGTGGTCGCTGCCCCGTGCTGGGGTGGGTCTTTCGCCAAAGATTAGGCGCTTGGCTCCGGATACGGTGATGCCCGGGGGTATGTGGATGAATCTGGGAATGCCGGTCTCGGTGTCGTCTTCGTCTGGTGGAGACTCGGGTCTGGACTCTCGTAGTGTCTCCAGGTACGCGACCTGCTGAGCTTTGAGAGCCCCAATCTGGTCGTTCAGCTTGTTGTCCATCTGCGCCATGAACGATTGTAGGATGGCGGTAATGTCCGTTGGCGCGGGTGGAGGCGGAGGGGGCAGGAGTGTGTCCATTGTGTTGAGGGAGCTCCGGGCTGACAGAAGGTCGGTCTCGTCGGTCGTCCCATGCTGTTGGACGTTTGAACTGTCACCGGGCTCTAGAGGGGTAGAGCCCAGTCCGGTCTGCGGTATCCTGGAGTTGTTTCCGAACTGATTTTGGGCGGGTGGTTGGATGATCGTAACGTCGGTGGTATTATCGGTGGATCGCTTCTCCGTGGACATCTTCGAGTTCTGGCGTGAGTAGATGAACTTGTATCTTTTGTTCCCCACAGACGGCGCTAATTGTAAGATCTAGATATCTCACTAAGAGAAAATATAAAGATTGCGGGGGTAAAAGATATAGTTGTATTGAATTTAGCCGGAGCTCGAAGAGTACAAAAGATTTAGGTCGTCGGAAAAGAACACCGACCTAAGTTTTAAGAGTAAAGAACTAAGATCTAGAACTGGAAGCAGTAAGCTATTATTTGCCCTAAGTCTCGAGTCGGAAGTTGTGAATGAATGATCTTCGAGGGAGGAAACTCTTCTTATATAGCCTTCGTAGACCACCTTGAGAATAATCCTTCTCCTTCGGGATTAGGATAGTTTCCTTTCTTCTCGGATTCTTCTTTCCTTTTCTTCCGTGATACGAATATATCTTCGAATATTTTCATATTTGAACGCCGACCTAGATTCGAAAGTGAAGATAGGGTTTCAAATGACTTGTCTCAATTTATGAAGGACTTTTAACAAGGGATGTTAAATCAGTGAGGTTAGGAAAAAGTAAGAAAGATTCCAGCATGCGTCTCGAAATATGAAATTATTAGTACATTTTTTCTCCTAATCCAAATCTTTTATGTCACGTTTGCATCTATACCGTTCGAGAAAGTAATATTGTAAATCATATTCAGGGTATTTGAAAACACGACCCATCAATTTTTATTAAATTTTAAAAACTTCGATACAATTTCAATCCGTGGAAAAATGATCTCGACGACAGAAACTAGAAAGGCAGTTGGGTCCATTATTGTCCATTGTCGATATGATAAACTCAAGAACAAATAAAAGCAAATGATCCATCACCATCCCGATTAGTACCGGTGAATGAGTTGCTTGCATGCATCCGGATTCTTCGAATAATACTCAACCTCAGCCTGAAAAATAGAAGAAAGAAACATAGATTAGTGCCTGCTTATATACTTCGTTACCATTGCGAACCTATTGGAACTTTAAAAACAATTAGTGTACCTTACGGACTCCTGTTATGGCAACTAAAAGCTTTTGTCCGAGCAACTCGTGGAGAGCTTCGTCTTTCTCAAGAGCTTCAACAGCTTCTGAGAGCGACTCAGGAAGTCTCTTCAGTGTAGCAGCCACATCGGCTGGATTTGTATCTGAACGTTTCCATCCAAAGGAAAATGTGATTTTTAAAATATGAAATTCAAAGTATGTCAAAATGCATTTCACAACCATCTTAAGCTTTGCTTAGCTTTTTACCTATTGGATCAGGAAGTTGGAGGTGTCGCCGGAGACCATCAATTCCGGCAGCCATTATAACGGCCAAGCTTAGGTGAGGATTTGAAGAGCCATCACAAGATTTGATCTCAAAGTTAGTAACTAAACCATCAGGAGCTCCAGGTGGAGAAGCTGTTCTTAAAGCTGCCTCTCTGTTCTCCTTGCCCCAGCATTGGAATGCACCACTCCATGTGTTAGGTTGGATTCGGTCATAGCTGAAAATTTCCCAAATAAATTAGTAACAAATCCAGAAATTAATTACTCGTAATTAACCTTGTGGCTCAAGTTACCTGTTTGGAAGTGGAGCTATAACTGCCAAGATTGAAGGAAGGTGAAACAGAACTCCAGCCATGAACTCTTGTCCGATGGAAGACATTCCATGAGCAGATGATTTATCAGATGCAGGGAAGACATTTTCACCGTTTTTCCAAAGACTTAGATGCACATGTGATCCAGAACCAATGTCGCATAAATCATACCTGACAAAATACAATTGCATTCTTTTAAAATTCCGCTGTTGAAAGAGTATTATTATCATTCAGTGGGGGAAGAAAGAGAGAGAGTGACATACTTTGGAACAAAGGTCGCGAGCAATCCATGTTTCCTTGCAACCGATCTTATAGCTTCACGTGTGTAAACCAAGTTATCGGCGGCAAGAGATGAAACGGTGTGCCCCAGAGATATTTCAAACTGACCTTTCCCGGATTCAGCATGAAACTATTAAAAAGAAATGTAATACTTTATGTCAAAAGAAACATGATCTTAGTTGTGATATTATGGCTGATGGAATTATTGTCTCTTGTTTGTCACCTGTTCAACTGTGATGTTCAAGGACTCAAGCGCTGGTACAATTTCATGGAAAATCGGAGATGCAGCATCGTATGAGGATGAGGAACAGTAAGGACCAAAGTCAAAAGGCACATACTCTTCTTTCCCTTCCCTTTCAAACAATTTGGACAAGATTATGAAATCGATGTGATTGTTCAAAGAAACTAAGATTCAAGAAACTTATAAGTCCGCATACATACCGCACAACATTCTTGAGGAGATAAAACTCATTTTCAAAACCAGCGTTCATAACCTAAAAAGCCAAGGAAACTTTTAGTTAAAGCAACAAACAAACAAATGAAAGTTTCCATAGGATTGGCTATATGGAGAACTTTTACCAAGTCAAATTCGTCTTTGAGAACTTTTGTGACTCTTCTTAAGGTTTCTCTTGGACAGTATTCCCATGCTTCACCAGGCTTCAGGAGCATGTCAGCTAAAACCATGCTCTCTTGCTTTGTCCTAATAGTAAACATGATATGATAAATGTAAACAAGGAAACAAATATCATCTGTAAACTAAACAGCAAACAAGAGTAAAAGTACCATGGTATTGTCCGCTTGGTTGATAGATCTGGAACCAGTCTAATCTCACCCACACCCGTCAGCTTAGACTCTTCTGCTGGCCCATCAGTAAATGAAGGCATCCCCATTGATGCATGAGTCAGACCAATACCATTCTTCTTCACACTTCTGTTAAAACGCTGCGCATGAACAGCCTGTACAAGAAAACAGAACACTTATCAAAGGTTCTGTGGTTGTTACAGAGAAAAAATAAAGCTTAAAAATGAGAAACAGAGGTTTAAGAATTTTTTAAAAAAACCACACTTACACGGCATCTTTGTTGTCCAGATGTATCAACCCAAATAATGCGTACAAAAGAACTTGTATCTCCTTGAACATCAGGCTCCTTCATCTGTGATTTGGGAGATATTCTACTCTGTGGACTAGAAGTATTTGTGTCTAGATGAAGCTTATAAAATGCAATCGCATTCCGTGAAAAAATGTCTTTCGCTGCATCAATAGCTTCCATGAGTGAGAGATCACCACTGGCACAAGCGTCACGCAGAACCAAGAAGATGACTTCACGTGCTTTCTTTGCACCTGCAGAAACAAAGACAACTTTTTGATCAAGCCTGAAGCGAGAAGGATTACAAACTACACAAAAGAGTTAGCAACTTGAACTTACCTAAATAGTAGGTCTCAGGAGATGCATAGCCATCAGTACTGAACATCACCTGCAAATTCTCTTATGGTTAGCATTTTGAGAAAGACAGTGCAAGTACAAGAATTATGTGAACATGCAGCATTCAGTGTTACCTTCTTTGTTGGGGCTAAGTCAAGGAGCTCCTTAACTGAAGACACCATACCATGGACACTAAGCTTTGGAACCGCCAACCCGAAATCAAGGTAAACCTTAAGAAACGAAGAGATTTGTCAAGAATAATCAAACGACATCCGATAATATAACCGATTGACTGAAGTGGCATGAAGCAAAACCTGAGGATAAACTGAAGACAGATAAGATGCTTCCTTTGAGAATGGATAAGACGCATGAAGAAGAACAATACGACACCTTGCGAATCGTTCGTCTTCGAGAAGGGTTCTAAGGTGAAGAGGATTTGACAACCGCAAATCCAAATCCCTGTCACCAAAACTGATTCCAAAAAGGAAGAGATTTTCATTACTAAACCGCTGAGCATGAGTTTGATTTTGTCAGGCACAGAGAAAAATCTCAAAAGATCAGACCTTAGAAGACAAAATGGTATTGTACTAAAGATTCCGGTTTGTTTAATGCAAAATCAAACTTTACTAACTTCAATTCACAAAAACAGCAAAGTCCCTCACAAAGTTGACCAAATCTTGCGTACCCTGTGTGAATCTGCAAGGGCAAGTCGCAACGTTCAGCAACCTCCAAACTACGAGTAAGAATGTAATCAATCAAGCCTTTGTTTCCAATACGGACAGGCTTTCCAGCTGCAGCAAGAAGATGGTAAGAAGGTGATCAGAGAAAATGCAGGACATATTACAGGACCAGCCAAGGCATATTTGTCTTTACCTTGCAAGACTTCAACAAGGCCATTCTCAGCAACTTGTTTGCTCACATGGGTATCAATATCCAAACCGCTGCGATAAGCAGCAATGGTTTTCAGAGCAACAATCTCTGGGACGAGCGTGAACATCCAAAGTCAAGGTAAATCCCACATTAAGAGTGACTTGAAAACCACACATAAACCAGATAAACAAAAAAGGATATGAATTCAATCTTTCAACAAAGGCTTTGGTGAAAGAATCCAAAGTCCATGGAGAAGCGTCAGGACTCTCCTCGTCGAGGATTTGCTCGGCAAGAGTTTCGATACGCAACACTCGACCGACAAATGGAACAAAGTCTCTGTGCCATTCAATGTCATGCTTCTTGTCCAGCTTCAATCCATCGTCGATGAGCAGAGCAGAGATTCGTGCTTCTTCAAAACACTTGGAAGTAAAAGAATGCAGACCAGAGGTTTGACGATGTTTCTCAATCGCTTCCAGAGTTACTTCGGTGCCATAAAGTTTAGCAATTTCCCTCAGATTCCTCTGTTTCATAGACAAGAACATTCATGACCAATCACTTCACTAAGACTACTAATTTATAATCCGACACTAGTAAAAGATTCTAATCACACAAAGTGTAAAAAAGAAGTCGCATCGTCGTGTACCTTGAAGGAGAGGGAGTGATGAGCTAGAGATAAAGCGTCGCCGGAAGCCTCGGAGAAACTTCCGATGAACGGAAAAGACGAGTCGAGAGCGACAATGTTGTGCGCGTGGGCATCCACGAGCTTTACTTGATCTATTGCTTCCTTTAACTCGTTAAATTCCATATCCATCTCTCTCTCTCTCTCTCAAGCGGAAATCAAACTTAGGAAGAAGAAGAAGAACTTTGTTTCGTGCTCCTCTTACACTTGAGGGTTACTGTATATAAACATCTTCGTTCTTCTGATTTTGGCCGGTGGCCGGTGGCCGATGTCTCTGACTTTTTTTGTTTCACGAAAGACGACGAGAAGACCGATGGACACGTGCCCAACATCCATCAGTCACCTCTCCACGTGTTCGTGCGTGCGGATATCGAATTTCCTCCCATGTGTTTCTTTTCTTTTCATTTTTACTCACCCACATATCCCAAAATTACGTTTCATTAAACTCCAAGATTATTAATTAACAAGAGATACTACGTAAGTACTGTAATTTTACCGAGAGAGAGAGTGAATAATAATGTTACGTTAAATTTTTGATATTTTATTTTTATCCTAATTAATTAAAATCAGTTATCTCAACCGCATGATGTACGAACAAGAAAGATGAAAATGCTACGAGATGGTTGACGATTCTTCAACCGACTCTATGATCTCGTGGAGTCTTAATGGATATAACAGCTTCGTTATCTCTGACACGGCCGTCTTCTCTGTTCAACTCCTACCCAAATACTTCAAGCACAGCAATCTCTCTAGCTTTTCGAAAAGTTGATGATGCAGATCGTTGGGAGTTTGCGAACGACGGGTTTGTAAGAGGCCAAAAGGATTTGCTAAAGAATTAGCAGTGAGCATCATCAGAGCAAAAGCGTTTACAAACAAGAAAGCACAAGCGATGAATCAGTTACTTTTACGTTAAATTTTTGATATATATATATATATATATATATATATATATATATATATATCTAAGTTGTCAAGTACATCATGCATTCGTCGTGTATATCTTGTTCTTTTTACTTGGTTTTTTGTTCATCTCCCTTTTCCTCAGCCTCCATCTCCTTTTTTCTCTTTTTCCCAATCGGCAATGTAAAAAAATAATACATATATATATATATATATATATATATATATATAAACAACATAAACTAGTATAGCCAAGTTATCATCTTGTAGAGAGGATAGACGCGACCAAAAGAGCCTGGACATTCTCAACAAGATTAACCAAAAGAGCCCGGACATTCTCAACAAAATTAACCATTAGAGCCTGGACATTCTCAACAAGATTAACCATTAACTTGTCTATACGAGACTGCTTAGTTGGTTTCTTGCCAACCAACTAATCTGTTTAATAACCTGTATACATCAAGTATATTAATAACTCAGAAACCAATGTATTACTGCAAACATGAAACCTCTCACCTCTTCTAAATCAGTGGGAGGTCTACCATGAAATGCAGCTGTGGCCTTAACGTTGTTAGACATGATGATTTCCATCTCTAAGTGTTTTTCATCATCACTCATTCTTGCCACCACAAAAGTAATGGTATCTGCCATAGCTATCTCCAAGTAGTGATGTTAAAACGGTAGCCTTTTAAGCATACAGCAAACATTTCAGATTGGTTTTAACATAGCCCACATTCACATATATACAAATCTTCTATAACTGCTTATATTTAGGATTTTTTTTTGGTCAACTATATTTAGGATCTTCAAATCGATGAAATAAAATATAGAAACCGAAAGCAAGCAAACATGTGATGAATAAAGTTATCAAATAAGTTGCCTTTATGGCTGGCCATCACTCTGCAACCAGCTTTCTCAGCTCTCCTAAATTCTTTAATGAACTTGGTTACAAACGTGGTTAGCTTCAAAATAGCAACATTTTTCTCATTATGAACCATTTGTGCACAATCTAAATTAGGTTTAAAGTCATTCTCAGCAGTCATCTTAGCATAACTCTTTTGGTTGTTTTGAAAAAAAAGTCTTGGCTCAGCTGCCCCCTTCTTCAGCTTCGCATTAACACCCAAAAATGATTCCCAATCCCACTTTTTGTTAGTGAATTCCTCATATTTCTCCTCAGCATGATACTAACATAACAAAAAATCAAAGAACACTCCATCTCGCGAGATCCCATTATCTTTTGGGGATGGGAAACATATTATCTTTCTATTTCTTCATCTTACATTTGATCCACATATCTGATACATCACGTATTTTTTCCTAAAGAAAAAGAAACCCACTAAAATACAATCATGCATGATCCCATTAGTTGTTTTGGTATACTACTAGTTATGCATAAATAACAAAATAAGTTCATTTGACTTACATCATTTGATTCGATGATAAATAATGTACATGAGTTCATCACCAATAAAAAGTCCACCGCCCACAACTTTAAAATTGTTAGCAGCCACGGCAAAGATGGTGAGACTACATGTAAACCATTCGTGAACAATATCATCTTTTATGAGCTTGTACATCTCGGAAGGATGGAAGCCTTTTGGAATCTTGCAATTCTCTATATCCCACTAGACCATATTATCAGCAAAAAAGAGAATATCACAGGATTGCGGGATGATACATATTTTCCATACTTAAACAACTATCAAAAAAAGAAATAATCAGTACCAGATCAAATAAACAATCAAAAACGGAATTTGATAGTCAAAAGAATGAACTCACGTTTTTAGCTGACCATGTTTATATATCAATATCATGAGTTAAATGACAAATGGTTTAGATTAAACTCAAGATTAGATTTACCATTGATAACGCTACACATAGTTGATCAACAAAGTCATCAAAGAAGTCACCATCGTGGCTGGCCATCACTCTGAAACCAGCTTCCTCATCACTCTTAAATTCCTCCATGAACTTGGTTACAAAGGTAGTTGGCTTCAAAATGATAGCAGACTTCTCACTATGTATATATTTTAGAACTATTTGTGTACAATCTAAATTAACTTGAATCTAAATTAATTTTCAAGTTATTCTCAGCAGTAACTTGTATAATTGGCCGTTTTGAGAAAAAGTGTCTTCGGTGGATATAATTTAGAGCATCTTCAATCCTATATCAAATTTGGTTTCAAATTTTATTTTAGAATAAAATGTACTGCAACCTTATCTCATTTTCAATTGCATAATGGTATAATGCTATTTTTTATTTCAATTATAGAATCATTTTATGTTGAATTCCATTTTGCAATTGAACTCTTTTATTTATAAATTAGTCCTTTAAATTTTTAATCTTTTTTTAGGAGATAAATAATTATTTTGATGATAATTTCTTTTTTTCATTAATGATTATAGATATTAAAACATTATAATCTCTAAAATTAGAATACAAATAACATTTATTTAGTAAAAAATATAATGACGTAAATCATTATACATTTTTTTTTGAAATTAATTAAATAAATGGGTTATTTTGTAAATTTTGAAAAATATGTATATAATTAGTAATTAATAGTAAAATAATATATTTAAAATAATATTTTTAAATAAAAAATGCAATCATACATCGGAGAAAAATCCAATTGCATTTTGCAATTATTTCATTTTGATATGAAAAATGCTATCATCATACAATGGAGATCTTACTATATACTAAGAAAAACATTAATAGTTTTTGATGTCATAGTAATTAACTAATTATTGATTTTTGTTTGATGTGTGGTTTTGGTTTTGATTGGGATTTGGGTTTATTTATTGATTTGTTTTGACACAAACCGGAAAATCCAAATCAAAAACCAAACCGGAGAAACAAAAGAGGATGAAGCAGGGCAACTGTGTCTGTGTGGAAAAATCGGCAGTCTTTTCTTCTCCACCTTATCATATCCTTTCTCAGATGGCATTGATACAACAACCAATTCAAGGGACTTCTTCCGCTTGCGCCAATGAAATCGTCCAACTCTCTTGCACGATTCGCTGCTTTTCACGGTAACATTCTCATTTCTCTTTGCTGTTTTGAATTTTACGTTTCTTTTTATGGAATTTGGATTTTCTCGTACAATCTCTCTCTGTCTTTCACACTTGCAGCAGCGCGGTATCAACCCCTGTTTGTTTTCGGTATTCAACCTCTGTTTCAGTGACGCCCACAACGTGTTCGACCAAACTCCCCAACGATCGTACAGGGAAAATAAGCTCTGGCCTGATCTCAACAAGACACCGAGTAGATCCCAAAAAGGAACTTTCTCGGATTCTGAGAACAGATGCTGCTGTTAAGGGCGTCGAGAGGAAAGCCAACTCGGAAAAGTACAACTCTTTGTGGCCAAAAGCTGTTCTTGAAGCACTTGATGAAGCTATCAGCGAGAATCGATGGCAGTCTGCTCTCAAGGTACATCGCTTTTTCTCTACATCTTTACTGATAAGCGGCTGCGAAAAGATTGAATTCATTAGGATTCATTTTCCCGTTTCTCTGTTTTTTTTTTTTTTTTTACAGATTTTCAATCTTCTTAGGAAGCAGCATTGGTATGAGCCAAGATGCAAAACGTACACAAAGCTGTTTAAAGTGCTTGGGAATTGCAAACAGCCTGAGCAAGCCAGCTTGCTTTTCGAAGTGATGTTGTCTGAAGGATTGAAACCCACCATTGATGTGTACACATCTCTTATAGCTGTTTACGGCAAAAGCGGACTTCTTGACAAGTCCTTCGCCACGCTTGAGTATATGAAGTCGGTGAGTGATTGCAAGCCAGACGTGTTCACCTTTACTGTTCTCATCAGCTGTTGCTGCAAACTTGGCCGGTTTGATCTGGTTAAACGCATCGTCCTCGAGATGTCGTATCTTGGAGTTGGATGCAGCACGGTCACTTACAATACTATCATTGACGGGTACGGGAAAGCTGGTATGTTTGAGGAGATGGAGAATGTTCTGGCTGATATGATCGAGGATGGAGATTCTCTTCCGGATGTTTTCACGTTTAACTCGATCATTGGTTCATATGGAAATGGCGGCAACACGAGGAAGATGGAGAGCTGGTACAACCGGTTTCAGCTGATGGGATTGCAGCCAGACATCACTACGTTTAACATTCTGATCCTGTCTTTTGGAAAAGCTGGAATGTTTAAGAAGATGAGCTCTGTTATGGAATTCATGGAGAAAAGGTTCTTCTCTCCAACGGCTGTCACTTACAATATTGTGATTGAGACTTTTGGCAAAGCTGGAAGGATCGAGAAAATGGATGATGTATTCAGGAAAATGAAGTATCAAGGAGTGAAACCCAACTCTATCACTTACTGTTCGCTTGTTAACGCGTATAGCAAAGCCGGTCTTGTGGTTAAGATAGATTCGGTTCTGAGGCAGATTGTGAATTCAGATGTGGTACTGGATACGCCCTTCTTCAATTGCATAATCAATGCATACGGTCAGGCTGGTGATTTGGCTACGATGAAGGAGTTGTACATACAAATGGAAGAGAGAAAATGTAAGCCTGATAAAATCACATTTGCCACTATGATCAAAACGTATGCTGCTCATGGGATATTCGATGCAGTCCAGGAACTCGAGAACCAAATGATTTCCACTGGTGAGAATTCAAGTATTCTCTTGTAGCTCTGTTTGGTGATTGTTTCTTCCATTTGGTTTTAAGATGTAGGCAGGAAAGAGGCTTATGGGGTGTGATTTGATAATTTGGTTTGTGAATTGATATATATGAGGCTAGAGAATCTAATGAATCTGATTGAAAGTCTGAATGATGATGAAACTGAGGTTGTTAATCTTGGTATGGATAAATGACAGAATATTATCGTAAAGAAAGAAGTAGATGACCAAATGTTATTACATGTTATCTGATGTACTTGTGTGTTTGCACATCTTTTATGTTGCAGGGTATGGGTCCAAGCCTTGCAATCATGTTCTCAGCAATGTGACTCACTGAGAACACACATAGGTAAGTGCTTCTTTGCTTTCGGATTTGACTTTTAGACTTTTAGTATAATATTGCCTAGTGAGTTTGTTTGTCCAATAAGAGTCTTACTTAACTCATCCTATCGTAATATCTTCTTCTTCAAACCTTTTTTCAGGCCTAGTGATGATTTTACAAGTCATGGATAGTCTAAGTTGTGCTAGTCTCTCCGGGACTGCTTCCTCGACAGGTCATGGCTTTTTATGGTGTATGCAATTACATGGAAGTTTGTTATAGTAATACCAATACAACTTCTGTAGTGACACATTCCCGTTGGACCTTGGTGAGAAGAAGAATACAGGACTCTTTGGCACATTCAAACATCTATTTAAGACACAAGGCATGAGAGGGCTATACAGAGGATTACTACCAAGTGGCTTTTGGTGTTGGCATTGCCTTCATGACATATGGTCACTCTCTTTGAAAGTTTTATATGTAAATACATATAGCTATCCTACGATCTTGTGTTGTGATTATGTATAGAGGAGCATCACAATTTTGTTTTGACCCGTCTAAGAGTCGGACCTAAAAATGTAAAGTTTGACTTCTCCAAGAAAACTTTGAATGATTTCTACTTTTCTAGTATGAGTTCAAACCTAAACGTCCAAACTTATCCAATAAGATATCATAAGCAATATGACTATATGAGGTAGTTATCAGCAGTTTTCCGGACAAATTAAAAAAAAAATAACACCGTGATGTACCTAATCTGACTGCAATGCACATTTCAGAATTCACATTTTTGACCTTTTATTACTTTATCACTTCCTTTTGACCCTAAATAGTTTGTTTGTTGGATATGTTTTGTCACTTGGATTGGGACAACTACCAAGAATCAAAACTCAAATTTAGTTTCTCTTATAAAAAAAAAGAAAATGTAATTTCTTACGTATCTACTAGCCAATAGCTTTTAGCTATCAGATATCCATTTGTAAAGTGTGACCTTATTTTTAATCGTAAAAAAAAATTGTTCTGTTTTTTCTGATATTGTAAAATGTTACTGCAGCTTCAAAGCTATTATAGATTATTAGTATTGGGCCTAACTCACACCCAAAAGCTAGTTTAAGAGTGGATGATTACCTCATATTATATATATTGTCCACAAATCTCCCACACTTCCGATGTGAGATATTTCCAACACGCTTCCTTACGTTCAGAATTCTAAATCTGAAGTATGAAATATAATCACGAATGGATGTCACAATCAGGACAGTTGGGTATAACTTAGGCTCTAATACTATATTAGTAATAGGCCTAACTTATACCCAAAAGCTAACTCAAGAGTGGAGGATTGCCTTACTATATATATTGTCCACAAATCTCTCAAACTTCCGACGTGGAATATTTCCAACATAGGTGAGGGAAAGGAAGAGGAAGGAAGAAAAGTAAAATTTGATGTTCTAACTTAGGCACTTTAGACGGGTCAAAACAAATTGTGATCTAGTATAAAACAATATATATATATATATATATATATTTATTTATTTCATTTTTTTCAACATACTAGCCTATATATTTACTAATTTACATGCTAGCGTTCGTAAAGAGTAACCTGATTCTTAATGTTAAAAATCATTCGTTTTCTTTCTTTTCAAACAGTGTCAGAACTACCAAGATGAGTTCTCATGATCCCATTCACTTCGTCGTAATACCCTTTATGGCTCAAGGCCATATGATCCCATTGGTGGACATCTCCAGACTCTTGTCCCAGCGCCAAGGCGTGACCGTCTCCATCATCACAACTACTCACAACGTAGCCAAGATCACGAACTCACTCTCTTCTTCCTCTACTTCTTCGACCATTAACATCGTTGAGGTTAAGTTTCCCTTTAAACAAGCGGGTTTGCCTGAAGGGTGCGAGAGTGTAGATATGTTGGATTCAATGGCCGATTTTCTGAAGTTCTTTAACGCCGCCAACACGCTTGAGGAACAAGCCGAGAAGGCTATGGAGAAGATGATTCACCCACGACCGAGCTGCATCATCGGAGACATGAGCCTTCCTTTCACTTCAAGACTTGCCAAGAAATTCAAGATCCCCAAACTTCTCTTCCATGGGTTTTCTTGTTTCAGCCTCGCATGCATACAAGTGGTTCGAGAAAGCGGGATCTTGAAAGTTATAGAATCTGACGACGAGTATTTCGATTTGCCTGGATTGCCTGATAGAGTTGAGTTCACTAAATGTCAGATCTCCGTGCAACAACCTGTTGAAGGAGATATGAAAGAGAGTATTGACAAGATTATTGAAGCTGATATTGACTCTTACGGTGTTATTGTGAACAGCTTCGAAGAGTTAGAGGCTGATTATGCAAGAGAATATAGGAAGGTAAGAGCGGGCAAAGTTTGGTGCGTAGGACCTGTTGCCTTGTCCAATAAGTTAGGGTCAGAAAAAGCTCAGAGAGGAGACAAAGCGTCCATTGGTGAAGACCAATGCCTTCAATGGCTTGACTCGCAAGAAATTGGTTCGGTGCTCTACATTTGCCTTGGTAGTCTATGCAATCTTCCCTTAGGTCAGCTCAAGGAGCTAGGGCTAGGCCTTGAGGAATCTAATAAGCCTTTCATTTGGGTTATAAGAGAATGGGGAAAATATGGAGAGCTAGCAAAGTGGATTCAAGAAAGCGGATTCGAAGAGAGGATCAAAGATAGAGGACTTGTGATCAAAGGTTGGGCACCCCAAGTGTTCATCCTCTCACATGCATCCATCGGAGGATTCTTGACTCATTGTGGATGGAACTCGACTCTAGAAGGAATTACTGCAGGAGTTCCATTGTTGACATGGCCTTTGTTTGCTGAACAATTCTACAATGAGAAGTTAGTAGTGAAGATATTGAAAGCAGGGTTAAAGATCGGAGTAGAGAAACCGATGATATATGGGAAAGAAGAAGAGATAGGAGTGATGGTGAGTAGGGAAAGCGTGAGAAAAGCTGTGGATGAGCTGATGGGTGATAGTGAAGAAGCACAAGCGAGAAGAAGAAGAGTCAGAAAATTTAGTGACTTGGCAAACAAGGCTTTGGAAGTTGGAGGGTCTTCACATTCTGATATCACAATGCTCATTCAAGACATTATGGAGCAACCACAATCTCAAATTTGATTAAAGGAGAGTTCAGTTTTGCTGTTAAGATTGGTCTTTGACATCAGTAGTTTTGTTGATTGGAGGAGGAAAAAAGAAGATATAGTAGAGAAGATGACTCTAAAGTCTAAAGCTAATATCATTAAATAAAATAATAACACCTTCATTAGTTCGGGTGCCTTACTTTTGCTTCTAAGTTCTATAGTCTTTTGTATTCATCTACGACTTGCTCTCATACCGGCTATGAGACAAAAATACATTTTTATTGCATACTTCTAATTCTCGTTTGTGTACATAGCAACAATTCTCTAGTCCGGTTAATTTAAATCATATGCTACAAAATGTAGACTAAATTACATAGAAATAGAAATTCAGTATAATGCTTAAATTTGTGTAAGAAAATTAATGAATCTCTACACAAAAATCGATGAATATTTAATTAAGGCCCAACTTTGCTGACAAAAATCCCAATTATATTGGTTTTTTTTGTCTATGGCCCAAACAATTGTCGGGACGGATTCGGCCGCAGGTGCTACTATTACGGACCTGGTTTTTTTTTTAGGGTAAAAAAACAAAATGAATCGAATAGAAACTAGAAGAAACAAATTAGTTTAGAGGGGAGAGAATGTGCACGTATTAGAAAAGATCCTTCTGCATTAATTTGAACCCATCAGTAGTAAGATTATCATTATCCTAGACCACCCATCAGTAGTAGGATTATCATTATCCTAGGCCACTTCGCAAGAGGAAAAAGAAAAAGATTTGAAATAAAGAAAACTTATTTATGGAAAAGGAAAATGAGTTTGATTGAACCGACGTCGTCTTATGTAATCAAATATGAAGATCTTGAAAACAATTTAATAATGGATACATATACATGAGTTAAGAGATTTCAATATTTAACCAGAAGGTAATGTACGTCAATGGTCCAATATTCCAAAGGTTGAACTAGTCTACGTTGGATATGCACCACAATTGAACGTTTCAAAGTTTCCTTTTTGTCATTTAAACAAAAATGTCCTTTTCATACCAAAACCATTAGACAAAAATATACAGACAAATAGTATGAGTTACAGCGTAAATGCCGTGATGTTTGAGCTTTATTTTATTAATACAATTTACGAGTTGACTGTTATTATAATTAGATAATTTTCTTGGTATAAACGCTAGCTAGCTATATACTATAGTATTATATTATACTTAACTAGTTTGTAGAAACGCCTTGATTTAAAGTATATATAGTTATAAAAAATGAAGACAAAAAATATTGAAAATGGAAGGAATAAAAAGATAGAATACATACTTAAAGCGTTTATTTTTATCGAATAATTATACTTCCTGCACACTTTCGCTTACAACATTTCTCGATAGAAGTTCAACCAACAAAGTGAATGAAACTAGTATGCCCGAAATGAAGATTTGGTCATCAAAACATAAATTTATCCCCCAACAGGTACACCTGTGTTAGGATTTAACATTTTTTGTATATATTTTACCTACTTTTTCCACTCGTATATTTTTTTTCGGTGGGCAACACAAAACCAAAGGTCGTAGATCATACACCAACATCAACAATATCCAAGTTATCATTCATTATCTTGTTATTGTTTGTTATTCATCCAACGATACAATGTGTTTTACAATTTATACCTATTAGGCTAGGTAACAACTTCTTAGGCATATTTTAAACGATCTCGAAAATCTAGTTCATTGTAACTTGAGTTTGAGATAGCCTTTGATTATTACCTTCCTTGAATTATTCATCAAGTTATGTTTTCCATAAAATCTTTGGAATCAATGACTTGAAATGCATGAACCTCCTCAAGGTACGCAACTGTAGATATTTTAAATGACAGTTTTCCCACAAATCATGAAATTAATCTGAAATTCGGTTCCATTCTTCCTCTTCTTCTGTTCAATCTAAAGGTTAATATGTGAACTCTGATACAAATGTGTTCAATCCATTGTTAACTTAAATTGATTTCATTTTCGTTAGCAATTCTCTCTTGAAAACTCTTGATAAACTCCTACACCACCCGAAAAAAAATTAAATATGAAACTCATGCAAATTAAAGGATTTGATTACCAAACTAATTACCTTTACGTAGGGACAAAGCCTTAAAAGGTTAAATGACTCTAACGGCCCCAATCTTCTTAGATACGCTCATTGACTTCTTATTTTGGCCATATATGCTTAGCCAAGCTTGACCTGTCGTATACTTCTAACGGAAGTTTTCTTGTATATGATTAAGTTACCTTTTCGTAAATGTTGGTGAAATTTTCATTTAATTTTATATAATTTAACTCACATTAAGTACGTAAAATTGTCGCTGGATTAAGGAGTTCACCTTCCTCATATATTTTTGATAAAAGTGACGTAGCTCACGATTGTCGTCATGGTGTAATGACTAGCTCACTACCGTCAGCGACCAAAATTTTAAACAATGAGGGTGTGTGATTGGTTCTATAAACAATAGTTATTTAGTGACTTGTTCAAAGTCAATATACAGCTTTTAAAGACTTACCCAATAAAATAAAGATCTCTTAAACGAAGCATTCACACATGTATATATATATACATGTTAGAACTTTTTGTGTATATCTTCTATATGCCTATGTATCTTTACATTTGCTAAACCCAAAATATGGAAACTACAATGGTTTCAAAAGCCAAAAGACTTCACTTTATTTTGATCCCTCTCATGGCTCAAGGGCATCTGATCCCCATGGTTGATATCTCCAAGATTCTTGCGCGACAAGGTAACATCATTACCATCATTTCAACCCCTCAAAATGCTTCTAGATTTGCCAACACAGTTGAGAGGGCGAGATCGGAGTCGGGTCTCGACATCAACATCGTGGAATTTCCAATTGCCTACAAAGAATTCGGTCTTCCCCAAAATTGTGAGACTCTCGACACTTTGCCCTCAAAGACCCTCCTACGGAGATTCTATGACGCTGTGAATAAGCTTCAGGAGCCATTGGAAACGTTTCTTGAGCAGCAAGAAATTCCTCCAAGTTGCATTATCTCCGACAAATGCCTTTTTTGGACTTCAAAAACTGCGAAAAGGTTCAAGATCCCGAGGATCGTGTTCCACGGGATGTGTTGTTTCTCTCTTTTGAGTTCACACAACGTCCATCTTCATAGCCCTCACCTCTCGGTTTCTTCAGACTCAGAAACTTTCTCTATACCAGGAATACCACATAGGATCGAGATAGCTAGAGCTCAGTTACCAGGTGCTTTTGAGAAGTTAGCAAATATGGATGACGTTCGCGAGAAGATGCGTGAAGCCGAATCAGAAGCCTTTGGGGTTATCATTAACAGCTTCCAAGATTTGGAGCCTGGCTATGCAGAGGCTTACTCTGAGGCCATCAAGAAGAAGGTATGGTTCGTTGGACCCGTTTCTTTATGTAATGATCGTATGGTAGACCTATTCGATAGAGGAAACAATGGTAACATTGGGATAAGCGAGACAGAATGCTTGAAGTTTCTCGATTCGATGAGACCAAGGTCAGTGTTATATGTTTGTCTAGGCAGCCTCTGTCGACTAATACCTAATCAATTGATAGAACTAGGGCTAGGGTTAGAAGAATCTGGAAAGCCCTTTATTTGGGTGATCAAGACCGAGGAAAAACACATGAATGAGCTAAATGAATGGTTAAAGCGAGAAAAGTTTGAAGAGAGAGTCAGAGGAAGAGGGATAGTAATAAAGGGTTGGAGTCCTCAGGCTATGATACTCTCACATGGCTCGACCGGAGGGTTTTTGACTCACTGCGGTTGGAACTCGACGATCGAAGGAATATGTTTTGCTGTACCAATGATTACATGGCCTATGTTCGCTGAGCAGTTCCTCAATGAGAAACTTGTGGTGGAGGTCTTGAAGGTAGGGGTTAGGGTTGGAGTGGAGATTCCGGTGAGATGGGGAGATGAGGAAAAAGTTGGAGTGTTGGTCAAGAAAGAGAATGTTGTGAGAGCTATAAAGCTTTTGATGGTGGAAGATTGTAAATATGTTAATGAAGATGATGATGAGAGTGAGTTCGTGAGACGAAATAGACGTATTCAAGAACTGGCAGTAATGGCGAAAAAGGCTGTGGAAGAAAAAGGATCTTCAAGTACTAATGTTTCAATCTTGATCCAAGACGTTTTAGAGCAGTTGAGTCTCGAATAAAGGTATCATAAGCTAATGTAAAAAGACACTAAACTTGTCTAGAACTAAGAGATTTGAAATTTTACTATCATGAAAATGTTTAAACTAAGATACTTATTTTTCTAAAAGATATATAATTTGATGGCGTTTAGCACGTTATACACTGTGAGATTTCTACAGTACATTGTTCTGTTGGCAACATATGGGTGGCTTGTAGTTCAAAAATAATTTTTTGTATCATTTTTGTGTCTAATATTAACCAGTAATTAAAACCAACAAGCAAACAAGAAAACTATTAAAAAGTTACAATATTCGTACATCAATACTCTGGATTCCGAAAACAATATAGTAACGCATAGCTGCATAGGGACAAATTAAATATACCAAACGCTTATATTTTGATGTAGGTATGCATTCGAAATCAAATTAATCAATAAGGATAATAATACAACAAACAAATCTGCCAAAAAAAAAAGCGTCACTAAACAAACCTAATACTAGTTGTGTCACAGAAATTCACCAAACCAATTTAAACGATTTCTTCGTAAATAAGTACGAAAAATGGATAAAAATCTAGTTAGGCTTGGAAGACAATATACTTTGAGTACACACTAAAATAACATGAGCTACGTGTTGTGATTTCAATTAATATAAAATTGGAAATCTTTTTCTAGTCTAATATTGTGTAATGATAAAATACGTACTCTTGAATCATAAACATGAAGAGTCAAAATATGAAGCTTGATGAACAATCCTTTAAGGATGCAATCAGAAATAGACTAATAGATTAAGACATCTTGATGAAAATGAATTCATTAGAGAGATCAACAAAGAGGTCGTCGATGATTATTTCAAAGCTTTCGGAAATATCAGAAGAAGAAACAAAAAAAAGAAGAAGAGGTTTTAATTACTTCTGAAACTCTAAGATAGTGTAGAAGTAATCAATGTAGAAAGGTCGGAAAGTAGGGAATCCAGCAGAGAGACCAAGCTCTTTAAACTCTTGTTCGGTTCTATGCTTACCTTTGGTTCTATAGATTGTCATAACAAAGATGTCCCCTTCTAACAAGGCACGAGTCCTGTGGCTATCATCGGTTTCCTTAGGCAAGACCGGCTCACATGCGATTAGCTTTCCTCCTACCGGTAATGCATTGTAGCAATTTTTCATTATCTGCTTGCATTCTTCGTCCGTCCATGTCGTTAGCACCCACTGTGCAATTCAGGCAACACAAGATATTAATTTAGAACAAGATATCAAAGATTAAATGTGTTTGTTTGAGTGTACGTACGTGTTTCTATCCACAAACATATCAGATCTTATTCATGGGTCTAGCAAGAATTAATGAAGATTCTAAGAAATATCTATTTGGCAAAATGGTTTCATTAATACAAGTTTTAGACACTATACTTGTATTAAGATGATATGTACACCAATGTCGAATATTATATTATTTATCTTCACGAATCAAACCATCACAAAGAAAGCTACTAATAGAATAAATTGAGATTTTTGGACTCCAAAACGATTATAATTCGTCTGATTAGCAGAAAAAGTGATAGTAGGTGAGTTCACGTGAAGAAAATGGTACAACGAACCTTCATGAAGATTGCGTCACCGCTAGGAACTGATTGGAACATATCTCCACCCATGTGAGTCACTCCTGATTCATATAAATACAAAAATACCACCAATTATATATGTAGTATTCAAAAACAAAAAAAAAAAAAATCGGAAAGCTTTCCAAAAATAACGGACAATAATAGAAGAATTTCCCAAAAAAAAAAGGAAAATGATGAAAAGAAAAATAGATACTATATATTATTATTCTGACCAGGAATCTTTGGGGCTTTGGCAACAACTTCTGGCAAATCAAAATTAATCCCTTCACGGACATTTGGAAATTGCTGAAGGATCATACGGAGACAATCACCTGCGCTCCCACCCACGTCAACTAAATGCTCCACGGATTTAAATCCATCGTAGCCGTCCAATATAGCCTTCATGAACGGCACAGATACGCCGGACATCGCCTTCTGCATCAGAGCGTTCATCTCCTCGCTTTTTCCGTACTGCGCGTACGCCGCTTCGCCGTTAGCTTTTACGTACGGCTCCGTCTCCGGCTCCACCACCGCCGTGTGAACCAGTGGCCACGCTCGCATCAGCGCCTCCTGTAAATGTCATTTTCATTATTAGTTTAATTATTCCGATTTTCGGCAGAGAATGAAAAAGGTATCGGAAACCTGGTGGTGTTGGAGGACGTAAGCGGCGTAGGAGAGGCCGCTGGAGTCGGTGACGAGGGTTTTTCCGACCTCGGTGAGGGAGTATTTCCTCTCGATGGATCCGGCGATGTGTTCGGAGAAAACACCGTAGCTTGTGAGCATACGAAGTATACGCTGGAGATTCTCGGCATCGCCGGTGGTAGTGTGGGATGGGAGAAGGAGGCGAGGGAGGATCTCGGCGGCGGAGAGAGGAGAGTTGGCTCCGGCGTTCCAAATAGCGTCGGCGATGCCTAATCGCACGGCGGCGTTGAGAGCCATTGGAACGCTGATCATGTTAGCGAGCTCCATAATGGCGAGACGAGCTTTGTTTCTACTCTCCGAGCTTTCATCCTCCATTTTCTTTCTTTCTCTGTGTTGTACGTGAACGATACGACGACGCTACTGGAGTTCATAAAGAGATAGGCAAGATGAGGGTATTTGAGTAATTATCATCAATTTTCCTTCTTTTTGCCTCTCTCTGTAGCAAATTTTAACTATTTATTTACATGATAGAAATATGTTTTTACTTTTTATATAGAGTCATTGTTGCAGCACATATCATCATGAGTAAAAATCCAAGATATTGAGTTTTGTTTTGTTTTCGAACGCCAAGTTGCCATATTTCTTTTGTCGTTTACTCTGTACACAGCAAACAATAATTGATTTGGCAAAACGAAAATTAAAAGAAAATGTAATTCATACAGTTCGATATCATATGATAGTATAATATCATTGGGCAGGGAGGACATGCGTCTTGGTGAAGTAGAAATAACTATATTTATTGAGAGTAAATTCTTCGTTTTCCCTTGATTAGGCCTATGGATTAGGCATGACGAAGTTTCTCTATAAATTGAGATTTGTGTGTTGAGGATTCTTGAGAGGATTGAGACAATCAGTAGAACTGCTTGTTTCAGCGAAGGTTTTGCTACTCCATCTAATCAAAGATTCTCGGGTTTCTTCCGATGGTTATGGCAAATTCCGATCAGTTGGCTGCTGTGAGATGAGGAAGAATTGCGCAGTTGGTACATTTTGACTTGATACAGTAGCTCTGCGGTGGTGATAGATGGAAGCTTCGCCGGAGATTGCGGCAGAGAAACAGGCAAGCGACGGTGCGAGCTTCATGCAAAGCCACATGATGCCACGTTGCAGAATTTGCTTAGTTGCTCACACGTGTAAATTGACGTGTTTTAATTGTTACAAATATCAAAAACTCTCATTTCACTTTGAGCTCTTCGATTTAGGATTACTGTTGTGAGCTCTTCGATTTCGGATTCAACAGTAATGCTATAGTACAGACTCGAGAGATTGTAAGACGTCTGATTGTAACAATGTAACACCTCCATCAACACCAATCAATCGACAAAAAAAAAAAAAAAATCAATAATCATAAAGAAAGATGAAGACAGGTTCGAAACTTCATCTCTAACATTCCAGCTTTTTTACCTTTGGCTCACCTTCATATACAATCCCTGCAATAAAAATAAAAAACTTAGATTATAAACAAAAAATTAATATGATTATAAACAAAAAAACAGACACTTAGATTAATACTCTCGAGTTCATACATTGGTGGTGTGTATGGTTGCACCAGTGGTCATGCTAATGGTCTGATCAGGGACCAGCTCAACGTTTAAGCGCTGGAGAAAGACAGCGAGTGCCACAATTGCCTCCATCATTGCAAACTGATCTCCTACACACTTCCTTGGCCCTCCACTGAACGGTATGAATCTGGTGAACAAACATATCAATCAACCACTTTTAACACTCATCTAATCAAAATATCATCAGTCTTTGAGTTATCAAGCTTCTGTCAAAACATGTGCTTACTTGAAATCTGTGTTTGTTTCGTTAGGAATCGGTCCTTCTAACTCGAATCGTTCAGGCAGAAATTCCTCAGCTTTCTCCCATACCTTTGGAACAGCGAACACAAAAAAAGAAAAAACTTATTTCAAACTCCATAGCAAACCGAAAAATCCGAATCTAGACCGGATTGAAACTTTACCGCAGATGAACGATGGACGTTATAGACCGAAATCATAATGTCTTGTCCGGGATTGACCTTGTAGTTCCCGGGAAGAATGTCGGCAACTTGAGCTCTTCTAATCAAGACCTAACCAGGTCACAAAAGACCTATCAGGAAATTTCAGTTCATGAAAGCTAAGAGAGATGAGCTTTGATTGCTTACAGGAGGATGAGGGTAGAGACGCATTGACTCGTTTATACAGCGAGTGATGTACTTCAACTCCTTTATGTCCTCGTAAGCAGGGTTTCTTCCCGCTAAAACTCTGTCTACTTCTTCTTGTGCTTTCTTCAATGCGGATGAGTTCTATGCACATAGAGAGATCAACGAGGTAACAAATTACTCATCAGTAAAAGAACAAAGAAGGTTCCTCTCAAGGAATAGGAGAAGTAGAAGATACCAAAAGATACCTTACTTAGGAGATAAAGTGTCCAAGTGAGGACAGATCCAGTGGTTTCATGACCTGCAACAAGCATTGAGAGGAGATCATCTCGTAACTGCACACTTGACACCTGAAAAAACCCGCACAATCAAAACATCAAAGCTTGAATTTTGCAGTAATGAAAGGCCAAGTTTGCTCATGGTCGAGAAAGGAAACCAAGTTTTAAACCTCTTCTCTGCTTGCGAGCAAAAACCGCAGGATACTTGGGTCAGCATCATTTACATACTCCTCGTCATCGATTCTCTCGCCTTCTCTTTCGACAATCTCTTTGCACTTGGCGATGAGCTCTTCAACTGTTTCCCTTATCAAAGTTACAGCCTTTTCAGCTTTCACCTGTCTCGGGACTATCTTACACAATGCATCGATCTGAACAAAGAAAACAACAAACACAGCCTCCAAAATGAACAAGAATCCAATGGTTATGCCACACAATCAACAGACCAGGGGAAAAAACACATGGAACTTGCCTTCCAATATGGTAGAATATCAGTAGAACGAAGCTCAGCTTCTTTAAGAGCAGTGTAAACAGCTTCGATCACAGGACTATCGGTAGTGAGTGAATCGAAGTTGTAGTTGAAAAGCGATAAGCCAATAACGTCGAGAGTTAACTGAGAGAACTTCGCTTCCATGTTCACAGCTCTTCCGTCCTGTGCGTAAGGCTGCAGCTTCTCAACAAGCCTCTCTGCACATTTGCAGAACACTCTCTCCACAATCACAGACAAATACCTCTTGTGAAGAGACGGAACCACCGCTCTTCTTCTCGCCTAATATCAAAAAATCATACATCAATGGTTTTCAAAATTGGTTCAAAACCTAAAGCTCCCCAATACAAGAACAGTGACGATTCGAAGATTCGCCTAATTGAAAAATTGAGTCTGGAGAAGATTGAAATTACCGTCCAAAGAGGTCCTTCGGCGATTGCAAAACCCGACCCGAAAAGGAACTCGGAGACTTCGGCGACTAACCCTTTAGCGTATTTCGGATAGTTCCTCAGAACGTGTTTCGCAATCGCTGGATCGCTGACCACCACGAAATTCCGAGGACCAGCGGCGAGGCGGTAGATGGGTCCGTACTCGTTCATCCATTTGTAGAGTGGCAAGAAGAGAGCTCCTCCGAGGAGTTCCGAGACGTCGTCGAGCTTCGCGCTCGCGATTGGTATTCCCGAATCGTCGTTTTGCCCAGAGGAAAGGGTACGAGTGAGTGATGTGAGCCAATCGGGGCTGACCCACGACTGAGATTTCGATGGGTTGGTCTCGGATTTGGGTTTTGGTTTGGGTTTCTCTATGGAGGATTTGATTGAGAATGAAGTGGAGAAGAATTTGGGTTTCGGAGAGGGAAGACGTGTAGACTTTGCAGTGAAGAGAGAAGAAGAAGAAGAGGGAGATTGAAACAAGAGAGAAGAATACTCCATTCTTCTTGTAAATGGTATATGTATATAAATATCTCTCTGTTTCAACCCATTGATGAGCTCTTGCTCTTTCGAAGCTTCGGTGCAGAATAATATTTTGACTCTGTGTGAGAGTAGAAGCCGTTAACCGAGGATAAGGACGATGATTGAAACGACAGCGTTTTTAATAGTTAAACCCAATATGGGCCCTTATGAACAATACGGGCCGTCATCACTAAAACATAAAAAAGGGAAGCCTAAACCAATCCGCGTTTAGAATAAAGAACACAAATACAAAAAGTAAAGAGTCTCTCGTTGACGAACACACTTTCTTCTAACCGAAGTTCCAATTTTCTTCGATCTTAAAATTCTTTTGGAAAGTTCTTTAATTTGGTCGATTCGACACAAGTATTGTTTTAAAAGTTTAATTCTTCTTTTGGTTAGTCGGCGAATTCTAGAAACGATGTTCAATTTCTGGTAATACGCAAACTCCATAATCTTATTTGTGTTTTCCGTGATTGTGTGACTTCTTTTGCTATTATCGAGATTTTTTTCTGATTCTTGTTAAGATTTTTTTGTTTATGATATTCGGATACGTGTTTTGAGGACATTAGGTATGTTCGGTGATTAAGCATATCTGATTTGTTGTGTAGCTTTATAAGGAACCTTCAAGGGCACTTAGTGTATAATTTCTCAGCTGCTGATTTAGGGTTCATAGTTGCTGATGTTAGATTTGGAAAGTTGTGCTGTGTAATCTTGCTATGTTGGTGTCTCTGTATGTAGTCCATGTAGCTGCATCTTTCCTGACTTGAAATGGGTTTTCTGATTTATTGTAAATCTGATGAGAAGAAGTGTTGTTGTGTTCTTTTAAGTTAAGTAATAGATAATAATGTTTCGTTTTGTGTATGCTTTGACTACATCAAAGGGGATCAAAAGACCAACAAGGGCAATCTCGTCCTCAGGAAGCTGCTGCTTCTTCTTCTTCTTCTTCGCAGCAGGCATGGTACTCGTCAAGCTCATCACGGCCTCAAACATCAGGTCAGATTCCGGCACATGTTTCACCGGGCGAAGCAGCCGGTATTATCGCCTTCTTGAAAGACAAAAGGTTCGCTCTCTTGTGTTTTCTGGATGCCTTCTCCAGTCCAGTGTTGCGTGTTTTGTTATGATTTCTTTTTGAATATTGTATACTTTTTTTTTTCTCTAGCGTGGACGAGCTCAGGAAGCTTCTGTCTGACAAAGATGCGTATCAGCAATTTCTGCTCTCACTCGACCAAGTCAAAATCCAAAACAATGTAAGTCCTAATTGTTTTCTAGATATTAACGACTACTACCTCTAGTTCTAACTTCTAAGAATGTAGCTTCACTAGTTCTGTATTGAGTGTATTCACTGGTGTTCATTCTCGTTTAGAAAGTAAATATGGTTTGTTATGTCTACAAGGCCTTCGTTGTGGTATCACCTTTTACGTGTTGTCGCCAGTTAGAGTTTTCTGGTTCTTTGTTATATTCTTTGGATGTTAAAATCCGCATTGAGTGTTTCGTTCTTTGTTTCTGTGCCATCAGATCAAAGATGAGCTCCGAAGAGAAACATTGCAGCTAGCTAGTAAGTTTCTCTGTTGTTCATGTCATTTTACGAGGGACTTGGGGTTTCATACAGAAATCTAACATCTTCATGGTTAAAAATGTAAACAGGAGAGAACTTAGACAAGGAGCCACAGATAATGGAGCTCAGAAATCAAGTGGGTATCAAGAACTATATTTCCTTTGTCACTATGGTGGTTAATAAAGCTTCTTGATCTCTCTTTTCTACATTGTGTTTACTCGTTTTACAGTGCAGAATTATCCGTACAACTGAGCTAGCAACTGCGCAAGAAAAGCTCAATGAGCTTGAGAGGCAAAAAGAAGAGATCCTCAAATTCTACTCCCCTGGTTTTCTTCATCATAGACTTCAAGGTAACTTGCATAATTACAGTGGATTCTTCCCTCAGCTCCCATATAGCTCCTGTGTTGCATCACTTGTAATCACCTTTTCTGCGGGTTTTGCAGAGGCTATGAAGGAGGTGGATGAAGAATCCGAAGCCCTGCAAGACAAGTTTCTAGAGAAGGAGATTGATACAGCCGCATTTGTGCAGAAGTACAAGAAGCTGCGTACTACGTATCATCGACGAGCACTGATTCATCTTGCTGCTAGAACCTCAACCATCGGTTGAGCTTAGAAAAGCTTCTTTGCACTTGTTTTGTGTCTTGAGACTCTTATCCAATGTTGTAAAGAAATGGTATGCGACAGTGATTGACATTGAAATCAAAATTATGTTTTTTTTCTCGAATAAAAAAAAACAAGCTACAAAATCTCAAATCTCTGCAACCTTGACAAAAGATATTACAACTGCAATCACAGATAACAAAAGTCTCTTTAAAATAACTTGCGTCTGTCTTCCTCCGTGTGTTTTGTTTCTACTCATCGAGCAGGCCAGCTTCCTTGAGCGCGCTCTTATACTCTTCCTCTGAGTTCCAAGACTTGATCTGGCCACCACAAAGTAACAAACATCAGTTGATACAGTTTTGATATACTCTCTCTATATAGCACAGAGCCACAAAAGTTATACATATATATTACCTCCTTAACATGCGCATTAAAATATCTCTCAATCTTCTCCATATCCTGTCTATCCGGTCCTTCCTCAAGAAGCAGGTTGAACACAGCTCCTGCGAAACAAATACACAATTGGTGAGAATCCGTGTTAACTTACGGCAACAACACTTGAGAGAGACACAGAGACTCAACACTCACCTTTACGACCAAACCGGCCAGCTCTTCCGACTCTGTGAAGATACACTTCATAATCTGGCTCCCTTGTGTCATATTTAGTAGGCAGATTATAATTTACAACCAAATTCACCTGCAAGTAAGCGTAAACGAGCAAGAGGCATTAATTCAGAAGCATTCTTGGGGTGGAAAAAAGAAGCAAGAAGAAAGGAAAAGGGTCCAAGGATGATAATATTTTACCCGTTGTTGGTCAAAGCCTCTTGCAATGACATCGGTCGCAATGAGAACGCTGGTTAGGGATTCTTTGAACTCCTTCACTATCTTATCTCTGTCCACTTCTGACATACTACCATGAACACTGGTGACGTCATACCCCATTTCGGTGAGAGCTTTGTGCACCTTGTTTGCTGACACCTTCGTTCTCACAAATATTATGGTCTGACCAATATCCCCAAGCTCCATAATCTGATCCTTGATCACTTCAATCTTGTTTTGCTCCTTTGGGCAAACCACTTTATACTGCTTCACTGAGTCCAAAGCCAGATCTTCTCTTTTTACAAACAGTTGGTTGGGGTCCTTGACTGTCCACTTAACAAAATCTTTGACGGTTTCATTAAAAGTCGCCGAGAAAAGAAGAACCTGTCAAAACACAAAGTACATCATCAAGTTTAGCAAAAGAGTTTCCTTTAAACAGAAACTGATAGCCATGGAGATGACACGAAGTAACCCAGTACAGCTTTCTGATAGTGAACACAGGTTCATCACACCATCTTAACACAGCGATGTCTTATTCAAACAGCTCAACTATTTTTACTTTCTAAGAGACTCTGAGCAGTAGAAAGAATCGTGATTAAAGCATACCTGAACATTGGGATTGACCCTCTCAATGTCTTTCATTATCCTCCTGGAATCATCTTGAAAGCCATCCTGCAACAATAACGAAATCTCAATTACCAACGTATGGTCACACTATTCACAAGTCAACCACTAAGGTTAAGAAACTTAAGGAGGACAGTTGAAACAGAAGTAAAGAGCATACCGTAGCAAGCATATGGTCAGCCTCATCAAAAACCAGAATCTTCAAGTGATCTAGACCAAGTTTCTTGAAAGCCATCCACTTTTTAATCGTCCCAGGTGTGCCAATCACAACTTGGGCACTAACAGTTGCTCGCCTTGCAATAGGTTGACCTCTCGTCGTCTCCGGGACAGCTACTTCAGCAGTGATCCCAGTGAACTTCCCCATCTTCTGAAGAACTTCCATATTCTGTCATTCATTCAACCATATTTCTCAATTCAAACAATCAAACAATACTCTCTACATCATATTAGTCAATAAAGCAACTTAAACCAAACCTAACCTGGTTTGCTAATTCTCTGGTGGGACAAATGCAAAGGGCTTGAGGCTGTTTCAGAGCCGGGTCAACCCGACTCAGCATTCCAAGAACGAAACAGGTCGTCTTCCCAGATCCGTTATGCGCCTGAGCAATCAGATGCTTGTGAGGCGGCGTCATGATCATAGGCAAGCTGATCGCTTGAATCTTGCTCGGCTTTTCGAACTTCATCTCCACATACAAGCCTTTCATCAACTCAGGCGATAAGTTCAAATCTTCGAATCTACTTGCCGATGTATATGGTGTGTCACCGGCAGGAACCTACAGAGAAGGAGAAAAAAAATAATCAAAATCATCCAACTAAATCTCGAAAACACAATCCTAGACTGATATTGGGATCATCCAAGAACTACGTTGCATCAACCGATCCGTAAAAACCTAATTTTTTTTTTCAAGTACAGCGCAGATCTAAGCTCGATTGAACACAATCGCAATTCACTGAGTAGAAGAAAGTATACCGCTTTGATGTTGGAATCTTCGGGTTCTTCAAGCACAGATTCAGGTTGCTCTTCCTCCTTAATACTCAAAGAATTGAGCTCCGAGACTGCGTTTGCTTCCTCTTCATCGTCATCCTCAACATCGCCCCACTTCTTCTTCTCCGACGTCGTGGGCTCTGTCTTCTCGACGGCGATTGATGCTTCTGCGGTGGATGAAGATGACTCAGCGGCGGGGACTTTCTCTACAGTATCCGCCATTCTGTAGCCAGACCCAAAAAATTTAGAAACCAAATTCGACAAATTCGAGAAACTAAATGAAGAAAGAGACTAATCAACTTCAATTATTCCGTGAAAGAACTGAGATTTTGAGAGAAGCAAAAACCTTGTAAAAGTTTGAAATCTAGGCTGCAAATCCGCGAATGAGAGAATCAGATAGAAGGAAGACCAAGAAGAAAGGAAATTGTGTTGATCTATACTGTTGGTAAGAAAAAAAAAACAATATATATTATCACCGGCTGCTTTAATTTCAAGCTACAAGCTTAAATAACCGACTTTACCCAATTTTGTTTTTCACAATTCGGTTTCTAATTTTTCATCACAAATTTCAGTGTACTGGCCAACTTAACATTTTTCAATACAGAATTCAAAGCCTTCAATATAATACTACATCACTTTGGGCTTTATGTTACAAAAAGCCCACCAAGAAGTTGTGAAAGCGCAGAAAGCCCATTAAATTTGTCAATTTGTTGTATCAATTGGAGATTTCCTTTTTGAAAAAATTCTATTGACTGCTGCTAAATTTCTTATTTCCATTTTGAAAAAAACTAGGTATTTACTTGCGCTATGCTGCGGGATGTTATTATAAATTTTATATATTTTTAAAATAAAAAGTTATTTTTTACAGTATAAATAAATATTATATTTATTTTTTATTTAACATAAGTTTTGGATTTAGATCCTATTTATTTCTCCATCTATATGGTTCATTTGAATAAAAATGAGAATTTTGTTTGTTTTGTAACAAAATCAAAAATGTTTAGATGAATTATCTAGATGATTTTTCAAGATTTAGATAAATTTATAAGAATTATCTGAATGAACCAAATTGGCTCATCTTGATGGAGATGTTTCAGTTCAAAATGACAAATGACTAAAATATTCTTAAATTTAAAAATAATAAAAAAAACCTAAAATCATTTTTTTGAAAATACCACAAATTATGCTTTTCTAACGAAACCTGAAAAATTGTATTTTTTTCTAAACTGGTAAAATCATATTTTCTGGTAAAATCGAGAAATCCCATTTTTCAACCAAAATTAAAAAAACACATTTCACTATTATAAGTTTACTTATAATCATAAATTTCTCTACTCGCAGGTTATATTCATATTTTTAATTATGAAACTTTTAATGCATGTTTTTCTTACACTAACTAAAATAATTATTTTAACATTAATATTTCTTTAGCATTAAAAAATATTTAGTAAAAAAATCACAAATGAAACAACAATTCACATTAGCTTACATATTTACTATAACTTAAGTTTATATATTGACCAGATCGCTACCTTGAGCTCTAGAAATTAAAAAAGCTACAAAATATATCGAAAGAAACCAAATAACCATATCAAATGTTTGAAGCTCGTATTTAATTGACCTCAGATCTTATAACTTTATTTTTCTTCGGTTCTTCTTCTCTCACATATGCTAGAAACAAGTCTAGCAACTACGAAAATGGCTTCACAATGTCGTCATTCCTCTCATTCTCCAAATCATATCAGCGTTTCTTTCATCTATTGAATCATAGTCACTGGTCGAGATTTAGACGGTTGGCAACTTTTTCGATCAGATCTCTGATACCTTTAAACATAATATATTTGCTTTCAAAAACTTAATACACTTTCAAATATTCATTCATAAGTATACAATAACTTGATTAAAAAATACTCATTCTTTTGATAATTAATTAAAATTTGGTGCACTCTCTCTTTGTCAAAGTATAAAAAATTATTTAATTTCAATATATAGAAAACATAATTTTCCGGATTTTTACCTTTTCTCATATCTTTGCTTTAAACATGTAAACATTAACATTATCATACCTAAACATTAGTCACACTTATATGTATATCTCAAACCTTCAAACTTCACACTATATTTATAGGCCATAGGACAAATATGATACAGGAGTAACACCCAAATACAAAGGCCCAAAACATTAAAGTATTAAACGCAAGCCTAAATACAACTTAAACTGCATTTGGTGTTACTGTAATTGGATTTCTCATCCAGCCCAAAACATTAAAGTATTAAACGCAAGTCTAAATACAACTTAAACTACATTTGGTATTACTGTAATTGGATATCTCATCCGTCTTCAGCATCATGGACAAAGCTTTACCACTTTAAAGCTTCAACTTTCAGAAAATTCATCATCACAATGTGATTGTAGATCTTTTTTAAACTCTTTCGAGAGCCACCATATCTCCTTAATAGATCATCCATGGTTAAAAAATCCTTCTTTTCCACAAAGTTGCCACAAAGTTAAAATCTTAGAAGTGAAATCGTGAGTTTGATGAGATAACAATATTAATTGATTCATTAGAATTTTAGGTTTGTTTGCCAATAAATGTTATCAATTAGTTAGGTTAATTAAATAATTTCTAGAATAATTGAAGAAGATGGACGAAGAAGATGATGATAGGGAAAATGAGAAAGAAGATGTCGATAATATACAATGAGCTTCAAATTGTTCTTTTTAAAAAATTAAAAAAATTATAAATTATAAAACAACACGTAGTACATTAGTAAAAATGGTGTGTTTTATTTTTTGTCATCGATATAATGAGGGTTAATTTTGCAGTTATTCTAAAATAATAATATTGAGCTTTAATTTCTATGTACTGTCCATATTGTGTCTTATTAATGAAAATTTTTGATGATAAAAAGAAAAAAAATTACATATGTGTTAAAATATTGAGATGAAGTGTATTAATGGAATGTTTTAATTGGTTCAATATTTTACTGATGTATCAGCTTCTAATAACACAAAAAACTTAGTTGTCAACATATGTAGAGATTTATGGGTTATTGTTGTATTGATTCAATTGGAGATCAAAGTCTATTTTTTTTAGTTAAAATTTCGTATGCTTTTTTGAATAAACAAGAAATAAGTTAATAACCATGATGGCTTAAAGCACAATATAAGAAGAAGAAAAGAAAAACCATGATTGCTTAAGCACAATCTTTGAGGGAAAAAGAAAAACACAATCTTTGAGGTGCGCAAAGTGGATGCCACATAACCTGAGACATTATTACAACAACAACAAAAAGTTGGTGGAGATCACACTGTGTAGTAATGATATTTTTGCCAAAATTCAACTTTGTTTTCCTAAAACATATCATCTCTTACCAAGAACCTCTATATTCATGCTTCCAACGGGTTTCAACATGAACCAAATTAGATTAATGAAAGATTGATGATCTCTCAATCCCCGTCTGGTTACCATATTGGCTTGAGCCTTGAGATTCAAATCGAATAGAGGAGGACGACTTTGAAACCTCGCTGTGACGGAAGTTTTGGTTCCAAACAGGGATGCTTAAGCATTGGTTCCCATGGCCAAAGAGAGTGGCCTCACATACAATTTCCACCTACTATATTGCACTAACAAATGCTTTTTCTTTATCTTAAAAATAAGCATGAAGAGAATGATTATCTTTGTATGACATGCATCATATTCTTCACTCCATTTTCTTCGCCACTAACATAACGCCCTCACTCTCTCTCTCTTCTCTCTGTTTTAACGGTCTGATTGCAATAGGCCAGAAGAAGAAAAGAAAACAAGAGATGGGAGTTTCAGGGTTCAGATTTCTTCTCTTGGTTTCTTGCTTCTTCAGCAAATCCAGAGGAGCCATTGTTCCTGCACTCATCATGTTCGGTGACTCCATTGTTGACGTTGGCAACAACAATAACTTACTCAGCATTGTTAAATCAAACTTCCCTCCTTATGGCAGAGACTTCGTCAACCAAACACCCACCGGAAGATTCTGCAACGGGAAACTCGCTGTAGATTTCTCAGGTAAATTTCATTCACAAACCCCACATCTCTCCCTAATCTAATTGGTTTTGATCTTACTACTCGTGTCTAGCTGAGTACCTTGGCTTCTCTTCATATCCACCTGCATTCCTAAGCCGAGAAGCAAGCAACGAGAATCTCCTGATCGGCGCCAACTTTGCATCCGCTTCTTCAGGATACTACGATGCCACATCTATTCCATTTGTAAGGGAGACAGCAGAGATAAACATCAACATTTCACGATTCCCAAGAAATGATCCATAAGGCTTTGCACTTCCTTTTTTTGCAGGGAGCGATCTCCTTAACACGACAGCTGAGCTATTACAGGACGTATCAAAACAGAGTGACGAGTATGATCGGGAGGGAGAGAGCACGCAGGCTCTTCTCTAAAGCTATCCACATTTTGAGTGCGGGATCTAGCGACTTTATTCAGAACTATTACGTCAATCCTCTGCTCAACATCCTAAATACACCTGATCAGTTCTCTGATATTCTCATGAGATCCTACTCAGACTTCATCCAGGTATTTTCAAGTTCAGTAACGAGTTTTAGAACGAAATATTCTTTAACAAAGCAACTCTATGAATGTGCAAATTTACAAGAAACAAACAACTCGTCCCGGTTATTTACCCATTTTTTGTGTGTGTCAACAAGAATTATACTGTCGCTTGTAACAGAATCTGTATGAACTAGGAGCAAGGAGAATCGGAGTGATATCGTTACCGCCGATGGGTTGCCTGCCTGCAGCTATTACTCTATTCGGTTTCGGAAACAAGAGCTGTGTCGAGAGGCTGAATAACGATGCTGTCATGTTCAACACCAAACTTGAAAGCACAACGCAGAGATTGATGAAAAGACACTCAGGCCTCAAGCTCGTCGCCTTTAATGTCTACCAACCTCTCCTGGACATCATCACCAACCCATATGACAATGGTATCCCCCTGCATACGCAATTTTAAATACTTTTTCAGCTTCAAACCATGATACCGTTAGATATTCACAGGAAGAACTTCTCAAATAATTAATCTAATTAGCAATATACAAGATACCATTAACAATTTTAATTTTTACAGGATTCTTTGAAGCTAAAAGGGCATGCTGTGGAACAGGAACAATAGAGACATCGTTCCTTTGCAATTCTCTATCCCTAGGAACGTGTTCAAATGCCACAGGATATGTGTTTTGGGATGGATTTCATCCCACAGAGGCTGTGAACGAGCTGTTGGCTGGTCAACTACTGGGTCAAGGGATCTCTCTAATCTCTTGAACTGAATTCGATCTCGATTGGATTGAATTCAAATTGTATACCTACAAATAGCTACCATTGTGTGTGTCTGTCTCTCTCTTCTCTCTCTCCCCCTCTCTCTCTCTCTCTATATATATATATATATATATCTGTATGTGTGACAAGGTATCGAACTTTCAAAAACTAAGTAAGACGAGAGGCAGAGTGTGTGTATGTATGAATGTAGAAACTACCGATCTGGTCTGTGTGATGAGTCTATAAGTCCAAGCTTTGTTTGAGAAGATCGATCTTTGGTAATTTGTGTTCTTAATTTATATCTGGAGCATTTCTAAGGTTGATCGTACCAAGAATTTTGGTAAAGCTATAAATAAGTCAAAAGTTTACTGAAATGAAAACATCATAAGACATTCACGTCTGGTTGAACATATAAGGTTTAAGTACTATTCCATATCAGCCTAGTTAATTACCAAGTTCTCAATATCTTAAGAAAAACAAACCAACTACCTGCACCAGCCCTAGGAAATAGGAATATAACTGACAAGCAATGTATATTGAATATAATAAGGATAAGGTCTAGCTGCCTCACAGGATAAGTACCTGGTCAGAAGTCTCTAGGAGAGTTCAAATCCTGCATTTGAATTAATCGCGTACAATAGTTTCTCCCTCATAGTGCTTGCTCGTTTGTATGTTGGAAGCTGAAGACATCCACAAAGAAAGATTAATCAAAACAGGTACATGAATCTTCGCAAGTAGACAACAGAACATGTGAAACTCCACCTTAAGAGTATTATAGCACGTAGAAGCAGATGGAAGCCTTTCTACATCTTGTCCTCCGATAGCAGCCCAAAGAGAGGTATCACAAGAAACCTTCAGAAGATGTAAAAGCACAAATGTAAAGAAAAAAAAATACCAAATAGAAAATTTCACATAGCTTTTTAAGAAGCTAGAGTTCAAAAACAAACTTTATGGATGATGAAAGTTGGCTGCAAGTATTTGAAACCAAGGAGTGGTGCCCGAGAACAACTAGTCACAAACTTCAGGAGCATGCAACGTTCACTCGGTTCAAACCCTTTCATGACCTGAGACAGGATGCCCAGAGAGACATTAAACAAGCAACGCAAACAGTCTCTGCGTACGTCACCAATTGGCAGACAGATTAGAAGAGATCAGGGTTTCTAGATTTGAGTCATTACCTCCCAGAAGATTTTGATTGTTCGACTGCTATCAGAGTAACCACCAGTGTATTTTGTATTCCTTCTTAGGTCATCAACATCAATATCATGGTTTCCTCCAGAGAGTAACTGCAGAAAGTCATTTTTGTAAGAAAATAGCCTTCTACAAGAGCAATACTCTAGAATCATTAACACTAAAGCCGCATACCTGATTAAACTCATGGGCGTTAAATAGTTTCAACCAAGCAGGAGATATAAGGTCGGTCAATCCTCTGTAAAATGCATTTGAAAAGGGCACAATCTGCATTCAAGACATGGGATAAAATGATTAACTCATTATGCAGGAAATTTTATTTTGCAGGATGATTGACCTTAGTTTAAATGTGAAAAAAAAAAAAAAAAAAAAAAAAAAAATTAGAGACGAGACCTGCCGGTTGAGCTTATAGTCAGCCATTGCATGGATATATTGCATTTTGTTCTCATTCGTTACTGAAATATCTTTACCACCGGGTTTGAGCTCAATTATGCTCATTTTTCCACAAAACTCTTCAGTGACTGTGAAATCCAGACAGAGTTCCTTCAAATCACCATCATATTGCTGCATACAAACAGGAGTTTTGATCTCAGAAACACTCTCTTGTGATACTTACACTAGATATAATTTTGACATATGAGATGACAGATTTATCACCTGCGATGGTTTTTACCTTGATATACATAAGGTTCCTGTAAAGTTCCGGATCAAGCCCTGATAGTTCATCAATAAAGCTATAACGTCCCAACAGCTTCTGGATGAAAACGTGCGAAAAAGAGTAATCCAGAAGAATTCCTTCATATAGAGCTTTTCCAACTATTCTTCCAAGAAACTCAATCATCTGAATCCCGTTCTCAAGGTGCCGAGCAGATGGACTAGGAACAAGCAACCTATCTGAAGTAGTGGTTTGCGAGAATAACCCATAGCTTGTGGACAAAATAATAAAATGGGCATGTCAATAAAGACAAAACTTAACCCAATGGACAAGTAACACCATACACTAGAATAAAGTACGCATACAGAAGAGCTTACTCGGTAGCAAAAGCTGCTTTTGTTATGTCAGTCAAAAACTCTTTTGAAAGCCCACCATAGTCTAGGCCAGCCTCAGGAAGGCCAGACTCATTCACAAACGAGACGTGGATGGAGGATTTTAGCCTGCTACCAATAGAATTCAGTTGTTGAAACCCATCCTCAACCACATGACCTCGACGAACAACTATCTCTATTGACCTTGCACCAGGTGCATCTACTTCACCAGCCATTTTCCTTGAAGCTTTATCCATGCTTATAAACTCTCTAAACACATGAACCCTGCAGGGATAACAAAACATGTAAATTAACATTACTCAACAGATGACGAAAAACGAGGAGAGAGGTAATAGCTATTTTAGATTTATTGTAGCACAAAAAAAGCCATTGGATACGCTATAAAGGGTAAGCAATGTAAAGGTACCTTTCCTCAAATGGAAAGACATGCGGGGTAATTGTTATAACAGAACCCATGCTTGGAGACGTAAAAACATCACTGGCTGGTAAAACCTCATGAGTTCTTGCAGCAAATGCAATTGGAGGTCTACTAGTTCTACCAGGTGAGAGCCACAAGGCAGAAGGACAAAAAGGGTGCCTGCAATCTCTTTCATACAATAAATGCAAACATCTGATAGCAGAATCCATTAGTTGTCTATTCTCAGGACCTGTACCTCGCAACAATCCGTTGTACACGAGTGTGTTAAGCACTGACGCAATTCTGCGTTGTTTTTCTAGCAAAAAGGGAACCTATATCATGCCAAAACAAACCTCTAGTAAACATCAGACTAATAAACATATATAAGCTGCAGGAAGACGTATTGTGTATTTACCTGCTTTTCATAAAACTGTATGTCATCAAGAACAACCAGTAAATGCGCATAGGTTGCACAAAATAGATGAAGCAGGCATGCCACATCGTTGGAGATACCTACAGGACCACCCCTCAGAGTTTCGACATCCCACACATCATCAGTTGACCCTTCAACCTGGCTTGATCCTGGCTGATCACTAGTACACTCCACAGGTTCCTGCGGTCCCGGTGATTTACCAGAAAACTTGTTTAGTAGATTCACCCACTTGTTGACTCCGTCATCCTTAAGATGTTTCAGTTTTTTTTCAGAAGGACTTCTTGTATTCCATGAAGTTTTGACAGGTCCATGAGATGAGTCGTCGGCAGTGCTACTACCATTTTCAGGGAGTATGACACTCTCTAGAGAGCTCCACAAAGAGACAATGTATCCAGGACAGAAGGATAACATGTTAAGGACAGGCAACGGCCCTACCACAGGATTCAGAACGCAGAAGATTCTCAACATGCACGAATAGAATCGTGCAATATCAAACAATTCTAGTGTTTTTGATCCTTTCGCACTGCTCGTTGATGGACCCTTATCTGATATAACACAAATATCTTTCCCAGAAGCTGCCAAAAGTTTTGCAAGATGCCACTGCTGACATACTGGTCGAAGCAATTCCACAAACGAAATCTTAGCAGAATTTTTTCCTTTCTCAGTCTCATCCGATGTGGCCTCAAAATCAAGATGAACATCCTGGATCCCAAAATTTTCAACCCGAGACAAGAGACTATCGGCAAGAGTCACGATAACATGAACGTACAAGACATAATACATCTCTGGATTTGATTCTTGAGGGTCCATAAATTCGGTTTCACTAACTGTTGCCAGGGATATGATGTTCCCAATAGCCCATCCGACAGAAGGAATCTCCATGGTACAGCTTTGCTTCTCTGAAACCTCTATTTCCGATATTCTGGTCAAGATTTTGTCCCTCAAAATCTGCTGTCACCTGCCACATTTTAATAAGTCCTTCGATTGTTTGGAAAAAAACGCAACTAATTCATCCGGAAAGGTAACAAAGATTTAAAATAAGTCAACCACATTCTCTCTACATTCTTTTTTGAGACTTAAACAAGAAATTAATTGGTCTGAAAAAAAATTGTGATGAGTTTTACCAATATAGTGTGAAAGCTTGGCATTAGTATGCTCTTGTGCTTCAGTGCACGTATGAGAGCGTTCGGCAGGTAGCAACTGAGATGAGGAATCGTCAGTATTAGAGAAACAAATTCTTCAACAGCCAAATTCGTGTCTGGTTGATTGTCATCAACAAAAGCAGGCTGCCTCGCATGGAACGGTCGCAGAGCCAAAGTAACTGCGCTTGTAGTAATCAACAGCCTCTCTTCTGTATGTGTGGTTAATGTCTTGATATATCTTCTAACTGCTATGTAATATCCACTATTACAGCTCCCAATAAACTGAAGGACCATCCTTCCAGCTGTTTCTGCATCTTGAAAGTTATCCTTTGTAACGATCTTCCAGTTTTTGGGATCAGTCAAAACAATAAGAATACGTAATACAAGGGCATTGACACCAAGAACATCTTTTATCCTTTCATGTGAATAATTACACTCGGTGAGAAGGAAAGAGCAGAGAGAAACCAGCTTTCGTGTTTGACATCCCCATGTTTTACTCTCTTCAAATGTACCAACTGTTAGTGAGCAAAAGTTGTACCCCTGATCTGCAAAAGACAATAGCAGCTCCCATTTAAGTAAGTTTAATCCGCAAGACCAGCGAATGAAAGAAAGAAGAAAAAAAACAAATCATACCATTAGAGTTGATGCTCTCCAATAGAATCTTAAAGCAGGTTTGCATGCAGAGTATATCTCTTGCCTGTATCTTTTGATGATGGACAGACAGAGATCTGATGAAGAAGAGAAAAGGTCTCAATACTCTGCTTGAAACCCAACTTTTGGTCAGTGTATCAGAACGGCAACTCAGTGAACTCTCCCACTCATCTCTGAGCTCTATAGCTGCCTTCTTTCTCACAACGTATGACCTCCAAACTCTCTACAAGCGGTTGAAAAATCGGGATAAGTTTTATGCCTATCTGAGACAAAGTCCCATTAAACCACAAAACGACATCCATAGATGATAGATTCCAGCTCAGAATAATCCTCATAAGCCACTAAAGAGAAGTTTAGAGAGGTTTTCAGAGCGGTACCTGAAGATAAATTGCTGCAGCATTAGCTCGTCTGGCATAACTGCGTAGCTCCCTCTCTTGTGACACTTTAGCAAGCAAAGCATCCCTTGATATCTCCCCACTGCTGGCGCCTCTGAGGGAGACCTGATGATGAGAGTTGGTTTTTAACAATCACGGATTCAAAAAACTTAGATCACCAAAATTTATAAGCGAATCTCATTCCAGAATGTGGCATCTGTTCCACTAGAGCTAAGAACCCTAAGTTTTTTTTCTAGGAAAGTGATGATTTAACACCGGACAAGTTATCAGATAGACCCAACGATTTCACAAAACAAAAATTTATGAAAAGAATTGCGAGTTAGGATCGAAATCGAAAGGGAATTGTAAAGCATATTCAATATTCAGAATCTCTCTAGCTTCGTGGAAAAAAAAAAAATGATCAGAAGAAGAGAATCCAAAAATGGTTTTAAGTTTAACAGTAGCGGAAGACTAGGAAGAAGAAAGAGGTACCTTGTGCTTGCGATTGAGGTCCATTGGAGGAGGCTGTAATGTTTGTTTCCGATCGTCTTCTTCGTGGTTTTCGTATTGGATTGGGGGTTGACGTCAAAGATCGTAGCCACTTCGTAGAACTCGAACCAGTTCTTTATGACGTCAGCTTAAAACAAAAAAAATAAAGGCCATCGAACCCATTTTTGTTTGTTTTTCTTTATGTCTTTCTTTTCTTTTTTTTTTTTTTTTTTGAACTTAGTGTCTTTCTTTGTGTTATGGAATAAAATAAATGTCTTATACTGAACCATTACTGTTTACATTATACGATTGATGATGAGTAGTTTTATTTTTCAGTTTGAATATAATTTTGTGTTAAAAACTTTCAATGGAGATAATTTTTACAGATGATTGTTGATTTTCCTATTTAAACATTTTTTAGATTAAAGAAGAGCTAAGTTTGTAATTCCCTTCTTCTAATCTAAGCTTGTTGACAATCAGAGAAATTTTCTTTTTATCCTTTATTTTTTTATTTCTTCTCATCTCTCTCTTTTATTTTACTATGTGTGAGTACTGAGTAGGCCAATCATTGTATCTTGGATTAACATTAAAGATGCAAGCCTTGTTGCGAAATAATTAATAATCTAAGTTGTAAACATTTTCAGAATCACTTTAAAAAAGCCCTTAGCAAATAAGACATTTAAGCTATTGTACAACTGGCTTGAATCACTTAAACATTTTCAGAATCACTTAAAAAAAGCCCTTAGCAGATAAGACATTTAAGCTATTGTACAAGTGGCTTGAACAGCGAGCATAGGAGCTCCCTTGCAGTGGCTCGGACCAAACATCTCGTCCGTAACCAAAAGCACACATTTCGGTTTTCCAAGACAATTCTGCACATATAATAACACTATCAATAAGTCTCATTGAAACATATATTTATTTACTAACTACTCTCATGAACCAACAATTTATTTATTTATGAATATGTTCGTTAATTTTGGTAACCTTTTTTACTAGCCTCAAAGTAGCTGGCGCGCTGCAATTTCCGTGTCTAAAGTCTCCACATGTACCAGTTGGGTTGCCATACTCAGCGAAAGTGATCTTTGTAATAACATATTTAGGCTTATCGCAAGAAATACGCGTCATCGGACCCGGATCGGGTTCTTGATTTGTACACTCGACAATTTCCTTCGCCCTGTTGATTCGAACTTGAGAGAAAACGCTGCCGGTTACTCTCGATTTTGATGCCTCTTGCATCATCAGAAATGTCCATCTTTGATGCTAAACCAAACACAGAGGAACGAATTAGAACTAGAAGCAAAATGAATCCACAACTACCAAGACAATGTGAAGTATCCATGTTATTTTTCTCTTCTCATAAATTCATAATCAAACGAAAATGTATTAAGTAGAGTACTTATGGATGTTTGTATATAGGTTAAAAAAAGTTAACTTGGATTATTTAAGTTGTGGAGAGTCTATTTCGTGTGTACATGTGGCCACCAATTTTTCTCTCATTCTGTACTTCTCTATTTTCCCATTCTCTTCTTTTGTTGTCTTCGTTTTCGGAGGTGTTAGGGAAAGGCATTTGACTTTTACACGATTACTTATTAATAGATTTTCATTTTCAGTTTAAAAAAAAAAAAAAAAAGAGTAATAGATTTCTCGTAGAAGTGAGTTTCATTGGTTTCATACTTATTTGTTGATTTTAAGTTTTTTTTTTTTTTTGGTCTTAGCTAATTGATTTAATCGTCATATATGGCCAGAATATGAGAATTTATTTATGTTCTCTTCTCTGACATACCATGAAATTTCATTTATGTTCTTACACTTCCACAGTTCCACCCACCTAATGAAGATTCGACTGTACATGAAATAATCCATAACTTTTTTTTTGTTTAAAGGTTTTAATGTTTCCATAAATTTTTTTTATTGTTTCCTTTTCTTTAGTCTCGTTGTTATCATTTGTCTAATTGCTTTAATTTTAGAAAATTCTGTGAGGAGAGACTTTTCTAGTTTAGGTTGGTCATAATTAAAAGTTATGTGAACTGATATTACTTATTTGCCTATCGAATACGTACGTGGCTTCAGTCGATTTTATGCATGATTTTGAATTACAAATCTTTAACAATTAACAAAGTGAAATGCGTTGAGTTACAAACTTTTAATAGGAAACAAAAGCCTGACAAGGTCGATTACGTAAAAGCCCTAGATACATGCATGATCGACAACAGGTCTCTGCATCAAAGACTGCCCTTTGTTGCAAAATATCAAATAACAACAACTTGATCAAAACGAAAAACGAGAAAAATCAATAAAAATTACGTAAGAAAAGTCCTCGTGTAGGAAATACGAAAGCTATCTCTTTGTACAAGTGGCTTCAACTGCGAGCTTAGGAACTCCCTTGCAGTGACTCGGACCAAACATTTTGTCCGTAGCAAAAAGCGCACATGTATTTTTCCCAAGACAATTCTGCAAAAAATAATGCCAACAATAAAGATTCATCGAAATATTTTACAATTTTTTCCTATGTTAATATGTTAGTTTTCTTATTACCTTTTTGACGAGCCTCAAGGTAGCTGGTGCGCCGCAATTACAGTGTCTAAATTCTTGACATTTACCAGTTGGATTGCCATAGTCAGCGAAATCGATTTTGGTGATAACATATCCGTTCATGCAATTAAGACCCGTTAAAGGAACCGCAGGATCAGTACATGCTGGATGTTCCTTGAGATGTTTCCTTTAACTCGTTACGAGGTTGATGACTGGAGTTAGAGAGAAAACGTTTCCGGTTATATCTTATGCCTCTTGCATCATAAGAAACGTCCACCTTCGACGCTAAACTAAACACATATGAATGAAACAGAACAAGAAGCAAAATGAAGCCATGACTACGAAGAGAATGTGAAGTATTCATTTTATGTTTCATTCATGTGTCTCGTAAATCAAGGATGACGACAAGACTACTACTTATGGATGTAGTTATATATAGGAAAATTTGTTTTCTTGCTTTTTGTTAAACTTGGATTAGTAAAGTTTTGGAGAGGCGAATTCGAGTGTAATTAAGATGTAGTTCTATTTTCCATTCTCTTGGTTTTCGGAGGTCTTGAGGGAACACATTCCTTCTGACTTTTCCAAGATCATTTATTAATGGTTTTGTATTTTAATTCAATGAATATAAAATAATATTTCCTCCCTTTTCTAAAATGATAGTAGTAGTTTTTTTTTTAATAGAAATGGCTTTCATTTGTTAGATAGTTATCAGTTAATTTTTACACTTTTTGTTTCTGCTAATTACCCAATCGTAGTCAGCACTTTTAAGATAGCATATCCCCACTCGTCAAGGTGAGCGCCAATTCTTTGCTTTGTCCTTAGTTCCTTACCAACGCTTGTGAATTACAATATATATTTTTTATAATACTGCCCAACTCATAAAATAGGCAGGCTAAACCATAGTTTAAAAGCACTACATTTTTTGTTAATTTTAGAGTACAAATAATATATATACATCAGTTGGGCCAAAAATAAATATACTAAAAATCAAATATAAGAGTTTTTTGAATTAAGTATAATAAAAAATATCCATACTATTATTTAAGAAGACACTACATGCTTAAACATATTTTATGTGTTATATTACATATAATACCATTGTATTTTAAGTTTTTCCTTAGATTTTCATTAAGGGTAATTTAGTCATTTGCTAATACAACCAATTGATTTTTATTTTTATTTTGCTTTATTTAATTTTTATATACTTATTACCAAACACATTAATTTTCAAATATTATTTAGATTAGTTTAATTCCAATTACCAAACACATTTAAATATTTCCATAAATAATAATTTATAAAATTATAATTAATCTTAAAATTAATTACATTCAAATTTATATATAAAAATGAAAATTATAATCATAATATATGTATAAAATTAAATTATAAACATTTATACATATAAAACATTTAGCAAAAAAATAACAAAAAATAATAATTTTCATATAGGCCAAACAAATATGCTTATAAGCAAATAACAATAATAATTACCATAAATATACCTAATTAAATTATATACATTTACACAATATAAAACATATTGCAAAAAATATTACAATCGTATTTTTATTATTATGTAATAATATAATACACCAAACATATATGTTTGTAGGCAAATAAATTAAGACATCAATATTATGAATAATTATATATTATTTGTCAAATATTTAGTGTAATCTAACATTAAAATAATTTTTGATTAAATTAACTCGAAATTAAAGGAACATCACTAATTAACAGTAAATGACAATAACCATAAAGTATAATTCAAATTATATTTAGTTATATCAAATATCTAATTAATCGATTGCACTAAATATTTTGATATTTATTAATAATCACGAAAATTATGAAACAAGCATCTTATATAAAAAAAATTTAAAAAATAATTAAAAAATAATAACTGCATAAATTTAAAGCATATTCTCAAAAACATGGATTTTAGCATATTTCCATAAATCATTCCAAACAATATTGATAGATTTTTATTGTGAATATAATAAATTGGGATATTAATAATAATAAAAAGTCAGTAAATTATTAAAAGATTTTCATAACTCACATTCAACAAAATAAAAAACATTTATAATAATATGATTTCAACAAATTATAACGGAAATGAAAACAGTAATTTATGTTATTTTATTTTCTCTATTTTTTTGGCTAAAATTGTTCTCTATTTAGATTTTTTTAAAAAAATATATTTCTATACATCAACATTTTTTAGTCAAAATTAATTTTTATTATGTTTAATATTTATTTTTCAGTTTATTTATTGTGTATATGGTTGTTATGTTTAATCTTATAGTTTTTCATTTATCATTCTTTTGTTTGAGAAAGAAGGAGAAAAAAGAGAAGAAGAACAAATAAGAAGGAGAAGAAGAAAGAGAAGAATGGGGAGATTAAGGAGAAGGTGCATCTCCTGTACAAATGGTGTTACACTTTCAAGAATGGTTCCGCAAGCCTTGAAATGTTCAATGATCGCCTCAAGATCAAGACACCCACCAGTCCCGTCATTTTCAATTAAGCTTCTACTCACATTGTGGACTACTTCCATAACTGACAAACTCTCATCAAACCCCAATTGATCGGTCAGCTTCAAATTTGCTTCAAACTGTCGGACAAGAGTAATAACCCAACATATTTTCAACGTTTGATGTAGAGGGAGACCAAGCAAATGGGCGACTACAGAAATCTAGTTCACATACTTCGATATTACAAGAAAAGTTACAGATCAAATATATGAGCACAACCAAAACAGGTCTTAACAGTTTAAAGAAATGATCATACATAATCGATAATCATCTCTAGCCTTCCCATTTGCTGGTTGACAAGGGCATCTATATGTCCGTCCTCGATCTGCAATTGAAAATATAACATAGTAATGATATATAACAGTTATGGTTGTACAGATAGCTTTAAGCGTGATATATACCAGAATACAATACCATCTGATGCACAAGCGCACTCGCGCCTCCTCAACGCTAGTAAGTTAAAGCGTTTCGGCTATATCCACAAACAACAAGGTAATGTATTGCCGCGTCCAACTTAGAATTATCCGTTTGCAGAAGGAAAATACTACTATCCTAACCAAGTTCTTGTCCTGAAAAGTATCATTCCGTGCAAGTCTTAGGGTGCATGAAGATTATTAATACCAAGTACAAAAACTACAGTGGAAGTGTAGGGGAGATTTACTTTTTCAAAGTCCACCATGTGGGCATCAACCACTGACTTTAGTTGATAGAAATCCCACCTTACGTAACATCGAACCAGATCAACGTAGGGCTATGAAAAGAGTGAATGATAAAAATCAAAAGCCTATATATAGATCTAGCTAGAATCATTATATTGAACAGAAAAAGAGGACTAGCTATATGAAGACAATAAAACATGTGAAAGTTCTGGTTCAAACTTACTTCAAACAACGCGAGGTTTGACTTAACATTGGAAGGGAGAAGACACTGCTTAAAGCGAAAATCAGACATTATTCAATGGATCCCAAGAGAGACAACTGAACAAACATACAAAGACAAAAAAAAAAAAAAAAGCCTTACATCGCCATTTTGAACGAGTGACACCAACATGTACTTTATGTATGCATCAACATCATGGGCATTAGGAGGATGCTTAATAGCGCTTTGGTGTTTTCATTGGATCTTGGATTAACATTAAAGATGCAGGCTTCAAGCCTTGCTGCAAAATAATTAATAGACCATATAATTTATGTTGTAAACATTTTCAGAATCACTTTAAAATTCCCTTAAGTAGCAAATAAGAAATTTAAGCTATTGTACAAGTGGTTTGAACAGCGAGCATAGGAGCTCCCTTGCAGTGGCTCGGACCAAACATCTCGTCCGTAACCAAAAGCACACATTTCGGTTTTCCAAGACAATTTTGCACATATAATAACACTATCAATAAGTCTCGTTGAAATATATATTCATTTACTAATTACTCGCTAATAAAAAAAAAAAAGAGCCAACCAACAATTTATTCATTTATAAATATGTTCGTTAATTTTGTTAACCTTTTTGACGAGCCTCAAAGTAGCTGGTGCGTGTCTAAAGTCTCCACATGTACCGGTAGGGTTGCCATAATCAACGAAAGTGATCTTTGTAATAACATATCTAGGTTTATCGCAAGAAATTCGCGTCATCGGACCCGGATCGGGTTCTTGGTTTGTACAAACGATAATTTCCTTGCCCTGTTGATTCGAATTTGCGAGAGAAAACGTTGCCGATTATTGACGATTTTGATGCCGCTTGCATCATCAGAAATGTCCATCTTCGAAGCTAAACCAAACACAGAGGAATAAAATAGAACTATAAGCAAAATGAAGCCATGACGACGAAGACAATGTGAAGTATCCATTTTTTTCTTTCTGTTCTCATAACCAAAGATTATGAAAATTAATGTATAAGTAGACTACTTATGGATGTATATATATAGGTTTAAAAAAGTTAACTTGGACGATTAGTTAAGTTTCGGAGAGTCTAATTCGTGTGTAGATGTGGCCACCAGTTTTTCTCTCAATCTGTAGTTCTCTATTTTTTGCCATTCTTTTTTTTCTGTCTTCGTTTTCGGAGGTGTTAGGGAAAGTCATTTGACTTTTACACGATTACTTATTAATAGATTTGCATTTTCAGTGAAAACAAGGAAAAAAAAAAAGAATAACATATTTCTCATAAAAGTGAGTATTTTATTGGTTTCATAATTATCTGTTGATCTTTAGTGTTTTTTTTTTTGGTATTAGCTAATTGATTTTATTAGACTATGAGATTTTATTTATGTTCGATCTCTATTTAGACATGTCAGGAAATTTCATTTGTGTTCTTACACTTAAATCCAACTAATGAAGTTTCTATATTGTACCATAAATTATAAAACAGTTGACATAAAATAATTAGGATTGAATTTCAGATACCTCTAGTTTCATTTTTTTTTCTTTTTATAATTTCTTTGAATGTTTCCCTTCCTTAGCTTTTTTTTTTTCTCAATTGTCTAATCGGTTTAAAAGTAGGGAATTGTGGAGACCTTTAAGTCTAGGTTGGTGATAATTACATTATTTTTCAAAAATTCGTCCAATGTGAACTGTTGCATGACTTATTTGCCTTTCTATTTTTCAAACACGTAGCTTCAATCGAGTTTTATACATGATTGCAAATTTGTGTAACGTAGATGAGGAGGTGCCATATGAAGTTTAGTTAACTATTATTTTATCAAACCATAGTTCATTCGTCGTTTTCGTAACTCGGCTCCCTTATAAATAATTACTTTGATAGGATAGTTTATATTTGTCGATCATGCGTACGTAAAAGCCCTAGATATTGCATGATAGACAACATGTCTCTCCATCAAAGACCGTACCTTTGTTGCAAACTTGCAAAATATCAAATAACAACTTGATCAAAACGTAATATAGAAAAATCAAGAAAAATTACGTAAGAAAAGTCCTCATGTAGGAAAAACGAAAGTTATCTCTTTGTACAAGTGGCTTCAACTGCGAGCTTAGGAACTCCCTTGCAGTGACTCGGACCAAACATTTCGTCCGTAGCAAAAAGCGCACATTTATTTTTCCCAAGACAATTCTGCAAAAAATAATGCCAACAATAAAGATTCATCGAAATATTTTACAATTTTTTCCTATGTTAATATGTTAGTTTTCTTATTACCTTTTTGACGAGCCTCAAGGTAGCTGGTGCGCCGCAATTACAGTGTCTAAATTCTTGACATTTACCAGTTGGATTGCCATAGTCAGCGAAATCGATTTTGGTGATAACATATCCGTTCATGCAATTAAGACCCGTTAAAGGAACCGCAGGATCAGTACATGCTGGATGTTCCTTGAGATGTTTCCTTTAACTCGTTACGAGGTTGATGACTGGAGTTAGAGAGAAAACGTTTCCGGTTATATCTTATGCCTCTTGCATCATAAGAAACGTCCACCTTCGACGCTAAACTAAACACATATGAATGAAACAGAACAAGAAGCAAAATGAAGCCATGACTACGAAGAGAATGTGAAGTATTCATTTTATGTTTTATTCATGTGTCTCGTAAATCAAGGATGACGACAATGTCAAGGAAGACTACTACTTATGGATGTAGTTATATATAGGAAATTTGTTTTCTTGCTTTTGTTAAACTTGGATTAGTAAAGTTTTGGAGAGGCGAATTCGAGTGTAATTAAGATGTGGCCACGAAGTTTTTTCTCAAGTTGTAGTTCTATTTTCCATTCTCTTGGTTTTCGGAGGTGTTGGGGGAAGACATTCCTTCTGACTTTTCCAAGATCATTTATTAATGGTTTTGTATTTTAATTTATGAAGATAAAATAATATTCCCTCTGTTCTTTTTAATGATAGTAGGTTTGTGGAATTACAATTAACCCAAAAAAAATAAATAGAACAAGATTCTTGTAATAATTTCCATCATTTTCAAGATGATTCATGCAGTAATTAGAGAGTGCAAACAAGCATACCTACTCAAAAATAGGTGGACTAAGAGCAATTTTATTGAAGATTCTTCCAAACTTTCAGATATATTTTTACCCAAAAAAAAACTTTCTTAAGATATATTAATTTAAAAAACTTTGAGTGAGTTTATTAATTTTTTAAGAACTCTATTCATTATTATAATTATTCCTATATGTTTAATATATCTTAAAAAGAGGTGGTCTAAACCCTGACTTAAAAACACTATTTTTTTGTTAATTATAGAATCACAAATATTATAAAAATATATCCATTTGGCCAAAGAATTGTAAAAATCAAATATGAGAGTTTTTGAATTAAATATAATAAAAATATATATATTTTGTGACAAACTTATGTTTTTAAACTAATATTGTCTATATATTAAATACAAAATAATATTATATAGTTGAGTAAATGCTAATGGGCCGGGCCAATTTGACTAGAGGCCTTATTAATTCGGGTCGGGTAAAATCCTTATAAATTGGTTTTGGGGTTCGGCGAATCCAGAAAACGTCTCCTTCCGTTCTAGAAACAAAGAACAGAGTCGAACCAAAATCACCTCCATGGTTAAGGTAATCTCCATGTTCATGGATTTTCGATTCTATTTTGCTAAGTCCATGATATACGTTTTCCCGATGTTTTAGAAACTCTTGGCATATCTGCAGGAGATGGCGGGTGGGCAAGTGGAGAAGCGAGTCAGACTCAAAAGCTCTGGGAAGGATCCAGGAACTCCTGGGTTTCTCAGAATAGTAAGATTACTTGAACGTTGCACACAAAAATAAACGATAAGTAAGATTTTCTCGAACAACTGGTGAATACGGTTTGTTTTTCATACGTTTCAATTTCGCAGAGGGAAGAGATGTTGCTCTTTGTCGCAGATGATCCGAAATCAGATTCAAAGCTTAAAGTGCAGACTCAAAACATCGAAAGTATGTTTTCTAATTTACACCAGCTCATAATTGTTATTCACATTCCCGAGTTTCAAAGATATGATGTGTTGCCTAAAATATTTCCTAATCATGAGTTGATGATCGCAGCACAGTTAGTTAGTATGAAACTTTACCTTTTTTTTCCTTTGTGTTTAGCGTCTCTTCAACTTCTTCATGGTAAAATCTCTCAGGTCATATATGTACCAAAGAAGGATCAAACAAACCTAATTGGCTTAAACTGACGAATAAGGAGGTCTTTTGTTTGCCCTTGTACTGAAAGCTACTAAATTATTATAGATATGTGGATTTTTTAAGAGCTTATCCTGTGTTTTATGAAGGGAAGGAGTCATATCTTCGAGTTTTAAAATTATTCGGACATGCATGCTTGCCGTGACTTTATCAGTAAGCTCCATGTGCCAATGGTTTTACTTTTATTGGAATGAAAAGTAGCTTGTGTTGTGTTCTTGCTGGTGGTAGTGAAACCAATTTTTACTGTGAACAGCAAAGGCCCTTGCTAAATGTGAAGAGAAATCAGCTGTTTCGACATCCTCTGAGCAGCTCAGTTTTGCAGACTTGGAGCTACGCTTCAAGCTTCTTCGAGAAAGTAGGTATGTAATGGGAACATAAAGTTACCTTTTGGGCCGCTCAAAGTCTCTGCTTTCATCATAAGCTCATAATATGAGTACCATGCATCTGAAGTGAGCTGCAGAGATTGCATAAGCAACTTGTGGAAGGTAAAGTCTTGACGGAAGATGAATTTTGGGCTACAAGAAAGGTCGGTTATTTGTGGTTTTTTCAGGCTTCTGTTCGTTTTGTGTGTAGTCGTAGTGACCATTTTGATTCTGGTTGATGGCAGAAATTGCTTGGTAAAGTTTCCACCGGAAAGTCAAAACAACAGGTCGGGATCAAGAGCATGATGGTTTCTGGCATCAAACCGTCTACCGATGGGCGGGTATGGCATCATCTTCCAGTTAATATGTTCATGTAGGAAACAAACAAGCATACTCTGTTGTGTGTTGTTACATTTCATCTGGTTTACTAACCAATTTTTGTTTCCAGACCAATAGGGTGACGTTTAACTTGACACCAGAGATCATTTTTCAGGTTAGCTTTTTGGTTCTCCACTGTTTTAAGTGCTTTATAGGGCCATTGATAATATTACGGTGTGCAATTAGTGATTTGGTTCAGTGTGCATCATGTGTTTGAACGAAACTAGGAGGGAGAAATATGTAACAGCCTTTCAGTTCACCTTCTGTTTTGTGCCGACTTAGTCCATAGATCCATGGATCCATTGCAAGAACACTTGGATGTTGCTTCAGTTTATGCTACTGTCATTGTCTCACATATGATTTCTTCGTCAGATTTTTGCTGAGAAGCCGGCTGTTCGGCAGGCATTCGTAAACTATGTTCCGAGTAAGGTAACAAAAACTTCATGACCATCTTTGTTTATAGTTTTAACAATCACATACGACGAATCGTAACTGGTTTTGATAGATATTTTCCTAACGACAGATGACAGAAAAGGCCTTTTGGACAAAATATTCTAGAGCGGAATATCTCTACAGCACCAAAAACACAGCAGTAGCTGCTGCGGAAGCTGCTGAAGACGAGGAACTCGCGGTCTTTCTGATGCCTGATGAGATATTGGCTCGGGAAACGCGTCAAAAGGTATTTCCCCCTTGAGAAGACAACATTTGTGACATATTTATCTGATCAGAATGTCATGTATGTAGATTAGACGGGTTGATCCGACTCTAGACATGGAGGCTGACCAGGGAGACGAGTACACTCATCTAATGGTAAGCCAACGACCACTGCATCATCTTAGAAAAAGCTTGTATTTAAGTTGTTAATTAAGAAATTTATCATCTCGCAAATGTAAATTCTGCTATATTTGAATTATATGCTGCCTTCTTTTTACCTTGGAAATCTAAACTAGTGCATTAGCTTATCAAGTAGGACCAGACATTTATAGTAGCTTTTATCAGAACGTGCTTAATATTGATATCTGAAATCGGACTTTGAATCTGCTGGATTTATATCTTCATAGATTGTGCTTAGTTTAAGTAAACTGACGAACAGGACCATGGGATACAGCGTGATGGCACCAGTGACGTTGTTGAACCACGGAATGACCAGTTTAGGAGATCACTGTTGCAAGATCTTAATCGTCATGCTGCTGTTGTGTTGGAAGGCAGAAGCTTTGGTAAAAACACTTGTACTAGAGAACCTATTACTGTTTATTTTGTTTAATGTTATGAGAAATAGCTACAACTTACGATGATGCTCACGCTCACTTGTCCTTTTTAATGGAAAGCAGATGTTGAGTCAGAGGATACGAGGACTGTAGCAGAGGCTCTAACACGGGGCAAACAAGGTTTGCTGTTTCATTCTGCTTTAGAATTGCTTTGTTGATTGATTTGATTGCCGTTGCAACACTTAGTATTCACCTGACGTCACTATCTAATTTAACGAGTAGTAAGCAAAGCTGGTGGTGGAAGCACCAAGGATGCTAATCAGGAGAGATTGGCGAGAATGTCTCGGGCAGCAGAAATGGAGGATCTTCAAGCACCACAAAACTTGCCGTTAGCACCACTTTGTATCAAGGTTTTTGACTTTCTGTCATTAAAAAGTTTTCAATGTTGATGATGGATATGCTTTCTCAGCCTTTCTTGTTTGTTTGGAATCAGGACCCTCGTGATTACTTTGAATCTCAACAAGGGAACATCATCCTTAATGAACCTAGAAGAGCAGGGGCATCGAAGAGAAATGTCCATGAAGCTTATGGGTTGCTTAAAGAATCCGTTTTGGAGATTAGAAGTACAGGGTTAAGTTATCCATTGATTAAACCTCAAGTTTCCTTCGAGGTGCTATTCTAATCCCATGATAAAAACCAAATCATGGCTTATTGCTTTGTTGCCTGAGCTAAAAAAAAAATGCAAACCCTATTCAGGTTTTCAGTTGGTTAACCCGAACTATCTCAACGGCCAAAAATATCATCGGGAAGAACCCAAAAGAGAGCTTTCTGAACAGATTACCAAAGTCCACTAAAGATGAGGTTCTACATGTAAGTCCCACATTCTCAAATGTCCCAAGCTCTACTGGTTAGTGAAGCCCCTCAAATGCATCATACCTTTTTTTTGTTTTCTTTCATCTACAGCACTGGACATCAATACAGGAATTACTAATACATTTTTGGTCATCTTACCCAATAACAACCACATATCTTCATACCAAGGTAATGTTTCTGCCGTATTCACAATCTCCAAATCTTTTGAATTGGCTATACCATGAGCTTTCTTGGGCACCAAGAGCTAGTTCTTATGCTAGGATCGATGTTCTGTTTTGTTATGCAGGTTGGTAAACTGAAAGATGCAATGTCCAATACATATTCAGAACTCGATGTAAGCTATGAAGATTCTTCAATAATCTCTGATAATAATTAGCAACAGCAGTTCTAGTGTGTACTATTTTCTTGATATTAAAACTGCATTTGAACTCAGGCAATGAAACAGTCGGTGCACTCTGATCTTCGGCATCAGGTTTCATTATTGGTTCGCCCAATGCAACAGGTTAGTCTCTTCCACGTGTTGTATCTATCCGGTTTAACCAGCCAAACCAGGCATTGCATTGTAATCCGGTTAACAGATTGAAATCTGAATGGATCTTAACCCATTTTGTCCGCCAGGCTCTTGATGCTGCGTTTGAACACTACGAAGCGGACTTGCAGAGAAGAACAAGAACCGCTAAGAGCGGTGAAGGACCAAACGGGTGCATTTAGAAGACAAACAAATCGTTGTTTTCATTTGTTGCTTTTTGTCCGATCTATTGAGATGGAAACAAAAAAGGCGTTGATGTTTTTGTACTTGGAAAGATTAAAGAGATTTTTCGTCGACATAATTCTCGAACTTACCCACTGAACAATTGAGTTTTATAGTGTAATAATAGAAACGATTCTCCAAAGGAATTAGCCTCAGTGGGTTTCAGGTTAAGTGTGTTGCTTGAGGCTTTTTATTTGTTTTCTGACGAGATTTTGATATTTGTGTAATATTCGGTCTGATCCGGCGGATTACGCAAATCAACAACATATAGATGCGCTGCATCAAAACAAAGAAAAGAAAAAGATATAATTAAGAAAGCTAATTAGTCCTTTTACAAATAGCAGAAAAAACAAAGCTAACAGGTCCTTTGCAATGGGTCGGCCCAAACATCTCGTCTGTAATATATAAGCTACACCGATCTTTTCCAAGACAATCTGCAGAAAGAAGAACAACAATTAATAAAAAAAAAAAGGATATCCACAGTACTGCAAAGTACAAAGACATTAGTAATGTTAATCAACTTTTATTAACCTTTTTGACGAGCCTCATAGTCGCCGGCGCACCGCAATTTCCGCGTTTCAACGTTTCACATGATGAACCAGAGGGCTGGCCATAGTCGGCGAATTTTATCTCAGAAAAAACGTATCCTTTGTCGCAAGATGCTCTAAATAAGTTTCCATCCTTCCTCCGATGGGTTGTTTAAGCCGCACAGTGGATATTCTTTGCCTGGTGGAGGAGATCCTCCAGGCTTGGAACCGGAGAGATTACGTTTCCGATCATTGTGGGTTTTAATGCCTCTTGCATCATAAGAACCACTGATCTCTGAAGCAAAAGAAGACACAGAGAAAAGAATCATAACAAGAAGCAAAACGATGAAGATGAAGCCATGACGTCGAAAATAATGTGAAGTTTCCATACTTTTTTTTGTTCTCTTATGAGTTATGAAATAGAAGGATAATGAAAATGCTCAGGAAAAACAAATAATGCGAAGTTTCCTATCATTTTTTTCTTTTAGTTACCTTCTACTTTTTTTCTTCTTTCTTTTTCACTTTTCATCCTTCTTGGCTTTCGGAGGTGTTTGTGAAGGACATTCATTCTGACTTTTTCGTTATTACCTAATAATATATTTGCATGTTCAAAACACTGTTATATTTGGTTTCACAATTATCACAGGTAATTCAGACTTTTGTCTTTGTGACTTGATTTTTAATTAACTCGTATACTTTGCGTAAGTTTACCAACACTAAAAATTAATCGATAAAGTAAAAAAGATTATCATCTTAGAGTACTCCTAGTGATGCATCTAAATTGATTTTTATTGCTCAGTAAAATTTTCTATTTTTAATTTAGGTTATTAAGTTCATAACTCATGGTATAACAACATACAAAACAATGTCATTCTGTGTATAGCTTAGTAGTATATATACTAATATTTCGTGTTCATAAGTTTATATCTTGGAAAATTCAAATAATAGTTTGAAATCTGAACACACTAATGTCATGAAATTTGCATTCGTTCTCTACTTCCTTTTATCCGTCACAACTACTAATAAGCAATTTGTTTCACTTTGTCGCATGTACGTACTTAATTACAAATAATCACGTTTTTATCCATTCCAACATAAATGTGTAGTAGTCACTACTATTTTTCTGTATTTTTTTTATCGATGATAACAATTGTAAATATTACACACAAAAAAAAGAAAAGAAAAAGTTCATAAAAAAAAAAGAGAAGTAATTTTTATGGGCTTTGACGCTTCGTATGCCCTTTGCGTAACTGTTTTGATTCCATGCAGCTTAACCTCACATTTGACATACACTGTGTATTAGCGTTTATAATAATTTAAGATTAATCATTAATGTCACTATTATAAAATTTCGGGAAACAACTATTGTCAATGCCGTCTTCGATCTATTATCTATGGCCGTTGTTGCCTTGAGTTATACTTAAAAGACTCTCCTCGTCATCGATCTATAGCCCTTGTTGCCATGAGTTGATTTTTTTTTTCTTTATTACTCCTGCTTAGTAAATATGACAACTTTTTATAAGACTATATAGCTAATAAATATAGCGTATATAATGAAAATCATGATATCCAAGCAAAATACAGAAAAGTAAAAGTTTGAAGAAGTTTTTCGAAGATAAACAAATTATATATTCTAGTTGACGTAGGAAGTAAAAAAGCTAAGTTTTTCTTGTACAAGTAGCTAAAAAAGCGAGGCTAACAGGTCCTTTGCAATGGGTGGGTCCAAACATCTCGTCTGTAACAAAAAGCCTACAGCGTGTTTTTCCAAGACAATTCTGTATAAACAAGAAAAATAATATAATTAGCTTTTATTCCATACTTTTAAACAGATTATGAATGTTTTGATCAACTTCGTTTAACCTTTTTTGACGAGCATCATGGTAGCTGTTGCACCGCACTTTCCTTGTTTAAACGTTTCACATAAACCAGTGGGCTGACCATAATCGGCGAATTTGATCTCACTAATAACATAGCCTTCAAGGCAAAATGGGGAAAATAAATTACCACTTTTAGTCGGTTTATGAAGCGCACACAATGGTTCTTCCTTGCCCCATTGAGGAACTTCCTCGGATTTTGAACCAGAGAGAATACGTTTCCGTTGATCATAAGAACCATTGATCTTTGAAGCAAAACAAGGCACAGAAGAAACAAATATAACAAGAAGCAAAATAATGAAGCCATGAAGATGATGAGGATAAAGTGAAGTTTTCATTTCTTTTCTTTTTTTTGGTTATCTTACAAATCAGAAGGATAATGAAAGTGCTAAAGCAAGGCTACTTAGGGATGTAGTTTAGAGTTATATATAGGTAATGTTTTGATATTGACCTTTTTCTAAATTATTAAATAATTAAAGTTTGTTGGAGAGGCGAATTCGTGTGCGGACGTGGCTGCGAAGTTTTCTATCAATTTGTCGTTTAAATTTTGTTCAATCTTTCTTTTCTTTTCTTTTTTTTGCCAGAAGGATATTGAAAATGTTTCACCTACTACTAACGGATGTTGTTAATAAATGTTTTTCTTTCATGTATTTTTATTTATGAAATTTAAATAATCAAAATTTGGTGGAGTTTCTAAACGACAAAATGATCACCGAAGTTTCTTGGTTTTCGAAGGCATATTGGTAAAAGACATTCATTCTCACCTTTGCGCGATTACTTAGTAATTTATAGGGGCATGTTCAAGAGATATATAGTGTATTTGTAATCTTAAAAAGTCCTAAATCCGCCATTATATACTTCTACAAAAATATGCGCACAATTACAAAAAAAAACAGAAGCCTCATCACATGATCGACAACATAAAGATGCGAAGTGTTAAAGATCCGTCTTGAGAAAGAATAAATACGAGCATGAACAAAACAAGAATAGAGAACAATGCAAAAATTAACAAAACAAACACGTTAACGTAGGAAACAAGAAATCTAAGTCTTTCTACAAGTGGCTTCAATAACTAGTCTTATAGTACCCTTGCAGTGACTCGGACCAAATATCTTGTCCGGAGCAAGCAACTCACAGTTCCTTTTCCCAATACATTTCTGCACAAGTAATTATAGAACAAAATAATAATATTAAGTGTCATTAATTAAGACTAACACTTTTGATAAACAAATTATCGTTATGTGATTTCAATCTAACTTTTTGATATTAGAAGTCCTCTACTCTTAATTAAAATTAATAAAAATGTTAAAGACATTCGAAGATTCAACCTTATTTTGTAAAGTGTAACAAAAATTAATTGTGTAATGTGTCAAATTAACACTCAATATGAAATGTTAAGTGTTATTTACTTTCAACAGATTACTGATGTTAGTTAATTTTGCTTAATTACCTGTTTGACGATATTCAGTGTATTACGTCCACCGCATTTACCGCGTTTATATGTTCCACAACCACCAGTGGCTTGGCCATAGTCGGCGAATATGATCTTTGAAATAACATCTCCTTGGTCGCAATCTAAATCAGGTGGCAACAGCCTACCCTCAGCCTCGCTAGTATCCGAGCACACTGTGTATTCAGATGCACCAGTGTTACTACGAGGGGAATGAATATTGGAGCCAGACAGAATATGTTTCGCGTGACCGTGAGCTAAACTAAAGCCAGAGGAAAGAAACAGAACAAGAAGCAAAATAAAGCCAAGAAGATGACGACAATGTAAAGTCCCCATTTCTTTTTTTGTTCTTCTCATAAAGGATCAGAACAATAATGAGAATGGTAATGCTTTTAGTGAAACAAAGATTAACAATGATGAAAGTTTGTTTAAGAGGCGAATTCGTGTGTGGATGTAATACTGAGTTTTCTCAATTTTTCGCTTAGATATTTTTTCCTCTTTTTATTAACATTCTCCTCCTTCTTGGCTTTCGGAGGTGTACGTGACTGACATTTCATCTGACTTTTCCACGATTACTTAATAATAGATTTGCATTTTTAGTAAATAATAATAAAAAAAAATTATCCCAGAGGACAGACTACAGAAAGAATTTAACCGGTTTCATAATCATCCATTGATCTTAATTTTTTTGTATGTGCTAATTGACTTCATTTTTTTTATATAAACCATAAGGCCGGAAAAGTATTATATTTTCTTCTTTGGATATATTACGTTTTCCTCACTCATGATGTTATTTACATTTGCGCAACTATAATGACAAATTTTCTGTCCAATAAATCTGAATATTATTTAATATATTGCACTAGCTATAGTTTCATAATTAATTTGTCACTTTTTCTTCAATTGTTTTAATGTTCTTTATCATGTCTTATTGTTCTCAACTATTCATTTACTTGATAAAGAAAAATGTCGAAATGACAAACATAGTCGACACATAACCTTTTTTTCCCATGAATTTCAGTCAAACAAATAGAACCGTTTAAGACTAAAAAAAATATAATAAACAAAACCGTTACAAAAAAAAAATTCTTAACATAAAACCAAAATAAATAAATTTGTTACCGCAGCAGTATAAACCCTACGACTAAACCTTATATGTACAAAAGAGTCAAAGAAGATGAGAGAGCCAAATGCTCAAAAGATCTTGAAACGAAGGATGGGCGTTAACCGAGATATCTAGTTCCTGATCGCTTGATCAATTTGGTGATGAACCATGCCTTGAGCATGGCCGGATGTGATGTGGAATTGGAAGTAGTCTAGGCAAGAAGATGGTTCCAGCTGCTGTTGAACTGATTTTGATTATGCTCCAGTATGTTAAGTCGACTTCTAGTCCAAACTGATCGGCTTAAGCTGCAAAAGAGGAGGGTATGATGTCTAGTTTCATTTGATTCGCGTAGCTGAGTCAACTACTAGAGAAACTGAGAGCTATATAACATTCCATCACTCAAGCAATTTGCCTTGAATTAATACCGTTTTTTCCTTCTTCTTTTTTGCAATGTTTTAAAAAAGAGTATGCACTTTATGAACATAAATCCATAAGTATATAAATAAAAAAAACTGGGTACTGCTTACCACTTAGGGTTTTTTATTTATTTATAAAACATGGACATCTTGCAAGAAAAAAGTTAATTAGATCACTATAAATGTCATTCGCACTATTTGTCTTATCCACTTAGACCATGTCTGATTGCATGCTTCAAATCTGATTACGAATAATACTGAAACATGTTTCTAACCGAGTAAACCAATCATGTTTGGTTTATAGCTTAAATTATTGCAATGGTTCTATACTGTAGAAAAGACATACTACTGTTATTAGCTAATTTTGGATTATAGATTTCAACAGATCTTACGTTAATAAAACAAACAAACAATAATATTTCAACAGGTTACAGATCTTAGAGAATTTAATTTGTTTAGAAAAAATATTGTACAGTGTATATATGAAAAGATTATAATGCAATGAAATGATCAAAAGTTTATAAATTTAAGGTCGTCCGTGCATTCGAAGAAGACCCGAACAAATTCTTCATGTACTCGTTGATTCTGAGAGAAAACAGAACTCAAATAATTTTGAAGGAATTACTCTCGACTCACTCTTTATAAACGTTTCATAATTTGACGTATTGGGTTTTTAAAGACCCTTATTAGAAAAGCAATAATTTCATCAAAACAAGAAAAGAGAACAATGCAATAAGAATCACTTAAAAATCCTAAGCTTTTCTACAAGTAGCGTCAATAACGAGTTTAATAGGTCCCTTGCAGTGGACCGGACCAAAAATCTTGTCCGGAACAAACAACTCACACGTCCGCTTCCCAAGACATTTCTGCAAACATAACAATAATAATCATAATAAGAAGAAGAATATTACTTGAAATGATTACATGATCAATGTTTAGTTTTCATTCACCTTTTTGACAATATTCAAGGTATTGCTTGATCCACAATTGCCGCGTTTAAAGTTTCCACAACTACCAGTAGCTTGGCCATAGTCGGCGAAACTGATATTTGACATTACATATCCTTTTCTGCAATCAAAATTCAATGCGATTGGCTTGCCATCATTAGCCTCGCTATGATCGGCGCACGTTGTATATTCAATAGATCGAGTGCGAGGGGAAGGAGCGGAGCTAGAGAGACTACGTTTCCGGTCACCGTGAAAAGAAACGTCAATCGTTGAAGCTAAACCAAGCACAAATGAAACAAACAGAACAAGAAGCAAATTAAAGCCAGGAAGACGACGACAATGTGAAGTTCTCATTTTGTTTTGGTGCTCTCATGAATGATCAAAAGAATTATGTAAATGCTAAGCAGGCTATTTATGTATGTAATTATAAATATATAGGCAGATTGTTTTCTTTTTCGGATTTATTTGGAAAAAAATAATAATAATTCAAGTTTGTGTGTGAGACAAAATCGTGTGTAGATGTGGTCTTGAAGTTTTCTCTCAAATTTTCGTTTAATTATGTTCTTTCTTTCCTTCTTTCTTGGCTTTCGGGGGATGTTATTAGTGAATGACATTTCTTTTGACTTTTCCACGATTATTTTAATAGGTAGATCTGCAGTTTCAATAGGAAAAAAGTTTTTTTTTTCTCCTATAAGAGAATTTAACGGGTTTTACGAATCACATTTTTTCAATCATCCATTGGACTTTACATTCTTCTAACTGATTTGTTATTATATGAAGGACGGAAACATTAGTTTATCTTCTTTTGTTGTATATATATATATATATATATATATTATACATAAATTTATCATCTTTTTGTATATGTCTTTTTGTAAGTTTACAGAATTAACTATATAGTATTTGCCTCAATCATTACGAATTCATGTTTTATTCATTTGCGAAAGATCACTGAAACAAATTTTATCGTTTATTTAAAGTTTGAATATCGAGCCATCATCTCTTGTTAACTTTTTTTCATGGTTCTAAGTTTTAAGTAACTCGAATTCATCAAGTTAAAGTGTGGTTGCAAAATTGTTCAAAAAAAAAAAAAAAAAAAAAAAAAAGTGTGGTTGCAAACCCAAAAAACAAAAGCAAAACAGTGTACGGCCTGATTTTTGTGTTAATTTTATATTATTTTTTAACCGAACATAATTGCTTGCTTACACGTTAAGTCAAAAGCTATTTGTTGCATGAAAAAGTTCACGTGGCATAGTTCCTCACTAGAACGATCTTCTCAGATACGTGTCGCGCAAAAGGAAACTTGGGAAATAAGAATGGAATAAAATAAAAATACCAAACCACACGTGGCAGTTATCGCATTACCGCGGTTATTACGTGGCATCTCGTTACAACCAAAAAGCTTGCTATAAAATCAACAAAGCAGCTCAAAATATAAATAAACACAACGAATTAAATTCAAAGAATTAGGAATAATCAAAGATCTCTCAAAAAATTTCTTGCACTCCAAGCAAACGAGAAAAAAATGGCGTCAGGACAAAGAGAGGCGGAGAAAGCTGCAAAGGCCGAGAGAGCTGAGGCTGCGGCTAGGCTCGCGGCTGACGACTTGAGAGACGTAAACAAAGGTGGTGTGACGTATAAGGTGACGGAGAAGACAACAACGACGGAGCATCCTTCCTCAGCTGAGGAGACGGAGAGGCCCGGGCTGATAGGCTCTGTGATGAAGGCGGTGCAGGGAACTAAAGATGCTGTGATCGGGAAAAGCCACGATGCGGCCGAGTCAACAAGAAGTGGAGCCGAGGTTGCATCGGAGAAGGCGGCGGGTGTGAAAGATGCCACCGCAGAGAAAGCCGGAGAGGTTAGAGATAGTACTGCAGATAAGACAAAGGAAACCGCGGAGTACACTGCGGATAAGGCGAGAGAAGCTAAAGACAAGACGGCTGAGAAAATGGGTGAGTATAAAGACTACACGGCGGAGAAGGCGACTGAGGCCAAAGACAAGGCGGCAGGGAAGACGGGTGAGTACAGAGACTACACAGCGGATAAGGCAAAAGAAGCTAAGGATAAAACGGCAGAGAAAGCAAAGGAAACGGCGGATTACACAGCGGATAAGGCGAGGGAAGCTAAAGACTACACGGTGGATAAGGCGACTGAGGCCAAAGACAAGACGGCTGAGAAAATGGGTGAATACAAAGATTACACGGCGGATAAAGCGAAAGAAGCTAAGGACAAAACGGCAGAGAAAGCAAATGAAACGGCGGAGAAGATGGGGGAATATAAAGACTATACGGCGGAGAAGGCAACAGAAGGGAAAGACACAGGAGTGAGCAAGATCGGTGAGCTGAAGGATAGTGCAGTGGACACGGCGAAGAGAGCTATGGGTTTCTTGTCAGGCAAGACAGAAGAAACCAAAGAAAAAGCTGTAGAGACCAAAGACACGGCCAAGGTACTTGGTTTAGCTCTTTATATATCCAAGAGGATAGTCACGTTTCGTTATCTACTTGTGTAATACAATCGTTTGTTGTTAATCAATAGGAGAAAATGGGCGAGGCAGGAGAAGAAGCCAGACGGAAAATGGAAGAAATGAGACTTGAGGGCAAAGAACTCAAAGACGACGCTGGCCAAATGGGCCAAGAGAAGACCGAATCTGCCGCTGGAAAAGCACGCGAGGTCAAAGATTCCACCACCGAGAGGTACTAAAAAAAGAAGATTGTACAATAGAATAATATTCAAAAGAAATATAAGTGTACAATGTAATTATTGATCGTTTTGTAGAGGTGAAGAAGGGAAAGGGACGATAATGGATGCGTTAGGGAACATGACGGGAGCAATAAAGAGCAAACTGACTGGTACTACGACGCCGTCCGATGATGAGACACGTGCGGCACGTGGAGACGAAGGCTCAGGGAAGACGACTGTGACGGTTGACGTGAAAGACACGAGGCCTGGACAAGTGGCGACATCGCTGAAGACGTCGGATCAGATGACTGGTCAGACTTTCAACGACGTCGGAAGTATGGATGAAGAGGCTGGGACAGGGAAAGTCACCATTGAAGAGAAAGGGAAGCTGTAATATAATAATAACACGTACGCTGCGTTTAAGGCTTGTGCTTTGGCTTTTGTAGAACGAAGGTTAAAATGCTTCTTTACTTTTGTCGTATGTCTTTTTTTTTCAATCTTGATTTGTAATAAACATCTTCTGTTTTGCTCTTTCAAAGTTTATAAGCTGTTTTCTTTTGGTGAAATGAAAAACTAAGCCATTTTCTCCAATTCTGTCGTCGCGACTGCATGAGTTTTTGAGTTCTGTCGTAAATTAAAAGAAAATGTTCAACGAGAGACCAAAAATGAAACACTTGCGAGTTGCGACATTGACATGTGAAACACTTGAATAGCAAAATAATCAAGATTGTGAGCTATGACTAGACAGTTCTAAAATTTCATCGACATCAGAATTAGTGGTTTTATAAGATGATGTATTAATCAAAACATATGTTAAATGTGAATATTGGTATTTGGATTCGTAAGAATACACAAACAAGATATCACTCTGCACATACGGAAATTGACGGAGAGCTCAAGTTTTTGTCTTCCTATAAAACAGCTTGAGGTGGGTTCTGGCTCGAGCTCTCGCTGAGTCCTTAGCAGAGAGTTCTTTTCAAAAATCACAATTTTGCCCCCTCGCTCAATCACGGAACAGAACTCAGATATATCCAAACAGGCAAATTTCAGAAATTAAATTTCTTGCTTACGAGAGGAGCTTCTGCTCATACCTGGTTTGGATTCTGAGGATGATATGGCAACGTTTCCCATTTTAACTTCCACAGCTTCTTGCTCCTCGTTCTCTCTCTTCTCTCTCTCTGTATCGAGCTTGTCCTCGGATTTTTGGTCTTTAGGTGAGAGTGAAGGTTCTAGAGCGCGAGGACCAGAGTTGATCCATGGATGTAAGAGACACTGAGACGCAGTTGGTCGTTTCTCGGGGACGAAATCAAGAATCGAAACAAGAAAATCACTCAGGTCATTAGCATCTTGCTCACTGAACTCGTACTTCTCGGTAAGGACTTTGTTCATGGGCCAGAAACGCAGTCTTCTGATGTGCCGAAGATCACCATGCCTATTGAAGAAATCTCTGGAGTAGCGGCCTCCTAATGCTATCTGCAAAACCACAACAGAGAAAAGAGTTGGAGTTTAGAGACAGCCTTGAATAGTTAAAAGTAGTTCAACAGCCTGCTAATGATTCTATTTACCTTCCGTGGCATCATTCCGAGAAGCTCCATCATCAAAGCCAAGTGGTCCTGTTAGCCAGAAAAAATCGAATAAGCTTCGCTGTATATTAAAAGCAACACCCCATAGCTACATAAATATTAGTGATAGACTCAGAAAGCCGACTTTACTCTTAATTTCTTAATGAGAGAGAAACAACAACAAACAAGATTGAAAAAGATCTGAAAAAGCTCATTATAGTGCTTATCAGTTAGATTCCCCAAACTACAATAACAAAGTTGAAAAAGATCTGCACTATGCACATATTTCAGCAAAAAGACAGTAGGAACTTAGACATACCTCATCTCTATCGTAGTTGTCTCCACTATGGGGATCGAAAAGTACATCTCCAGTGGCAAGTTCAAAACATATGCACGCAAACGACCAGAGATCAGCCGATGTCGAATACTTAGACCCGAGGATTACTTCTGGACACCTGTACTGCCTCGTTTGAATGTCGCTTGTGAACTGTTTGTATGTCCAACACGCGTTACCAAAGTCAACAAGTTTGCACTTGAGGTCAACCGATGACACAAGGTGCCTTCTGCTCGACCGACTCCCTTTCTTACCGCCTTGCTTTCCTTTCTCGCCACCATCTAATCCATTAGCGGCAGAAGTAGAAGGACAGTCTTCTTCAACCGATTTCTCTGCAGCGCTCGGTTTTCCATTAACCGAATCAACAATGCTCCTTTTCTCTGCACTTCCTTGAGCAGAAGGCTTCACCTTTCTATGTACATCTTTCTTTCGATTCCTGACAAAGTCGCCGTTGGAGTCAACTGTCTTGTCCATATCAGTGGGGAGAACAAGAGGAGCTCCAGACTTCCTGGGATCTTTAGACGGATCAATCGTCGACGGTAACAAGACATTTTCAGGCTTCAGATCAGTGTGTATGATCGAGAGCTGTTTGTGCAAGTAGTCTAATCCAACCAACATGTGATAACAAATCTCCTTGACCATGGGAAGAGGCAAGCCACGGTAGTCAGAATACTTTATGAGCGTCAACAGATTGTCTCCCAAGTACTCAAACACCATACATACATGTTGACCGTTCGGGCCTGAGTGCTTGAAATGATCCAAAAGCTTCACGACGCATTTGGTATCATCAGTGTCTCCTTCTGCAACCTGTTGCAATATGGTTATCTCATCCATGGCAGCTTCAGTGTAGTGCTGTGCACTCTTTTGCACCTTCAAAGCCACATATCTCTGTTGCATTTCGACCAAAATTCAATACGAGTAAGTAATCACACTAACAAAGCAACCAAATTAACATTCCAAAGCATCTTCAAAGGCACCAGATAAACCAAGTAAGGTGAAATACATCACAATTTCAGAACTACTTCCATCTAAGAATTAGCTTCAAGCAATTCGTATGAATTGGCGAGAGAGAGAGAGAGAGAGAGGAGCGTACAGAGGATTGAGTGTCCCAGGCGAGCCAGACAGTGGAGAAATGGCCCCAACCGAGTTTGCTCTGAACAACGTACCGACCGTTCTTAAAGGAGTCTCCGATCCGCACGGCGTGGTAACCGCCGCGCCGGTAATCCTCCGTCCCTTCGTCCTCCGACGTGTATTCACCACCGTCGCTGTTCCACTTATCCACCTCCATATTCACCGATCCAGACGCAAGGGGAGACGAAGCTAGCTCTCTCTCTACCACTCTCGGGAAAATCCGACGACGATTGAATCCGATATTTTGGATCTCTCTAGTTGATTTTTGGTGTCTTCCTTTCTGGAAGCTTGTGCAGAGTTTAGCTACTTCTTCAAACTTTCATCTACCTTCACGATACGTCGCCGTTTTTTAAGCTCTAGCGACAAGTTTCCCTCTCGTCGGTAATAAATTGAGAAAGAATTATTGAGGAGATGCTGACGTCATCACTTAAAAATTGTATGGGCTAACGGAATGATGGGCCTGTATAATGGGCTCTTAAGTGTGGGCTAACGAGGATAAATATATATAAACACTAAAATGGCTATCCTGTGTTGTGCACTCTCGTTGTGGTCTCTTATATAAAGAAATCGATTGAATTAGGGCTTCTAGTCTAGGGTTTCGGGAGCAGCCGGAGGAGGAAGAAGAGGAGCCGCAGCAGCAGCAACCATGGTTCTCAAGTAATCAAATCTCACATCTCTCTCTTGAATCGTGTCTGTTGTTCATAGAATTGATATCGCTTGGTGCTTTGTTTCGTGATTTCACTATCTGAGGGATCGAGTTAGTGAAGCTTTTGTGTCTCTTCGTTTCAATGGGGGGGTTTTGTGATATCCTTTACTTTCTCGTTGGTTTGGTAGTCGAAAGCTGTGTAATTTAAGGGGTCTGTGTTCGTGGTTGAGTCTATGTTCTGCTTTGATAACTGGATCTGTCTCTGCTCCATTTTGAATTCCATTTCCCTACATGTTTCTGTGATGATTTATAAAATTATGAAAATTTATGAACATAGTGGTCTCTATTTAGTATTGGATGATTCATTTCTATCATTTTAGTCTGAGTGATCTCATCCCAAATGATCATTTACCTGTTTATCTATACCTCATTCTTTTGGTGATCTTTGGAATGCAGGACGGAACTTTGTCGTTTCAGTGGACAGAAGATTTACCCAGGAAGGGGTATCAGATTTATCCGATCTGATTCTCAGGTACCTCTTTGGGATTACCAAGCTGATGTTTATTCAAAGCAAAATGTAATGATCTTTTAGTCTCTTAATGGTTTGTATCGTTTCCACTATTCCTCAGGTTTTCTTGTTTGCAAACTCAAAATGCAAAAGATACTTCCACAACAAGTTGAAGCCATCCAAGCTATGCTGGACTGCTATGTACCGGAAGCAGCACAAGAAGGTAAATTTATGTGTTGTTGATTGAAAAGTTCTTGTTTTTTTTGTAGTTGTCATTGTGAGTATCTAGGATTCTGCATTCGGTTATTCTGATGAGTGTACTTTTAAAATGCTTAATCTTTTTAGGACGCAGCAGCAGAGTCTGTGAAGAAGAGGAGACGTGCCACCAAGAAGCCTTACTCAAGGTCCATTGTTGGTGCTACCTTGGAAGTGATCCAGAAGAAGAGGGCTGAGAAGCCAGAAGTTCGTGATGCAGCAAGAGAAGCTAATCTTCGGTCAGTTTTTCTTTCTCAAATTATTTAAAAGGATAGACTTATTGATTTTCAGAAAGTGATCGACTCAAGTTGAACTGTGATGATCCTACAGTGAGATCAAGGAAAGAATCAAGAAGACTAAAGATGAGAAGAAAGCTAAGAAGGCAGAGTTTGCTTCTAAGCAACAGAAGATTCAGGCCAAGGTCCCCAAGGCTGCTGCAAAGGGTGGTGCTAAGTTGGGTGGTGGTGGTGGCAAACGCTGAAGAGCCTAAACCATCTCTTGTCACTTTTGTGTTTTGTGCTAGTGGCTACTTTTCTTAGTTGATGTTGATCTCAGAATATTCTGCAAAACGTAAACCTTGTTATTTGCTTTTGTTTTTTACTTTTTGCAACTCTTATAATCTCAGACTTGGGAATTTTGCTGCTTATGATCTTCGTCTCACTCTCTCTTTCTCTCTCTCTCTCTCTCTCTCTCTCTCTCTCTCCTCATAAGTTGATACTAGTGTTAGTTCTCTCAAATGTTGGCTAATCATTCATAGATGTTTAGAGTTAGTCATCTCAAATGCTCGTCCACTTCGATATTATTCAAGTATAATCCTCTTGTTCTAGTTTTGGTTTTAGTTCTATCTTGTACTCAAGTTCTCGGTACAAAAGTAAAGATTAGCTGACTTACTTCTACTAAGCTAATCAGTACCCAACCTAAACCAAAGCTTTCGTCATTGTTCTTGGGTTTTTAAACTTCTTGTAAGCTATTATTGCCTTATTACGAACTTATCCATGGGAAATTCCCATAGTATAACTAAAAATACTAGATAGAACCAAAAAAGTACATATATAAAAGCAAAAGGAAACAAGAAGTGAAGAAGGGGAACCCATCATTTCATTTCTTCACGCCATCTTGCATCTAATCATCATTTTCTTCTTATTATTTTTTCTTTATAACTATGTTTTTCCCATTCAAACATGAAACACTAAAACCATTTTGTACATGTGAGTCTATTGTTCATGTACGCGCATGATCAAAGCAGAGGAAAGTCGAGTAAGTTGTAGACTAGCGAGTGTATCTATGGGTCAACTTTTCTTTTCATTTTTTGAATGGAAATTTCAGTTCAATGTTTTGACATTGGAATGATTCCTCTTGGTTTGAGTGAGATTACGTCATTCTGTTATATATATCTATCTTCTGTCACAGTTTACCGTTATACTACGTGATTAATTAATCAATGGTTAAAATCATATGTAGGTGTAGTTATCGAGATAGAAAATCAGTAAAAAGACATCCAGTATTTAGGCTAAAGTGCTTATTCACTGTTTAACTAAGCAATGTTTAAAATCACATATAGGCCAAAATTTGATTAGCCAATGTTTAAACCATATATAATTAAATGTTTAAAATCATATACAGACGAAGATTTGATAAATCAATATTTAATCATATATATACCAAAGGTCCTGTTCTTTCTGTTAAAAGCAAAACAAGGATTTTCCAAGTAAATAAGAAGAAAGAGACAAAATAAGAAGAAGGAAAAAAATATTATTCTCTACTTGCATCTTACTTCAACTCTAAGATCTCGATCTCAATCTCCAAATTTCGAAAACAATGAACAAGATCTTGTTCTTCTTCTTCTTCTTCATCGTTTTACTTCTATCTCCACCACAAATCCAATCTCAAACCATCCCAAGTAACATTAGCATTTTCATATTGGCCGGTCAAAGCAACATGGCGGGTCGAGGCGGAGTTTATAACGACACCGCCACAAACACCACCGTGTGGGACGGTGTAATTCCGCCGGAATGTCGATCAAACCCGTCGATCTTCCGTCTCACGGCCAGGCTCGAGTGGGAAGAAGCTAAAGAGCCACTCCACGCTGACATTGATGTTAACAAGACCAATGGTGTTGGACCGGGGATGTCATTTGCAAACCGGGTGGTTAAACGGTTTGGTCAGGTGGGTTTGGTTCCGTGCTCTATAGGTGGGACTAAACTAAGCCAATGGCAAAAAGGTGAGTTTCTCTACGAGGAAACGGTGAGGAGAGCGAAAGCTGCAGTAATGACTAGTGCCGGTGGCTCGTACGGGGCGGTTTTGTGGTATCAGGGTGAGTCGGATACGGTAGATATGGTGGATGCTTCGGTTTACAAGAAGAGACTAGTGAAGTTTTTCAGTGATCTCAGAAGTGATTTACAACATCCGAATCTTCCTATTATTCAGGTATGTTTCATAAACTAAACGGTTTTTATAAAAGTTCAGATTTGTTTGGTAAATATATTGGGAATAGTTAAAAAAATTTAAAACGAAAAGAAAAAAAAAATACATGCAGAAGCAAAATTATAGAGAAAGACTCATTTAGTTGAAAATTTGCGAAATGATGGTTTTGGAGTTAAATTATTACAAACCATGTTGAATATATGGACTAAATGTTATTTGAAACATTCCACTAGACCAACAATATCTTTTAGTTTTTTGATTACTCATTGTTATCCAGGCTGTAGCTAAATATTGTACCAATCCAGGCTGTAGATTGTAGTGTTTTCAGTTTTTGACTTTACCCAAAATTCTAGAATAGTATACAATGATAATAGATTCTTCTAATATGTTTTTTTTCTCTTGTTTTGGACCTAAACAACAAAAGGTGGCTCTAGCAACAGGCGCAGGGCCATATGTCGACGCGGTGAGAAAAGCTCAATTGAAGACTGAGCTTGAGAACGTGCATTGTGTTGACGCAAAGGGCCTACCTCTTGAACCGGACGGTTTGCATCTGACCACATCTTCTCAGGTCCGGCTTGGTCATATGATGGTTGATGCTTTCATGTCCATTCCCAATTCCGCTCGACCACTACTCTCTGGCTTTTCTGTCCTTGTTCTGTTTTCGATTTTTTCTTTTGTGATATTGCTGGACCTACCTTTACATTTTTTTGGATACTTGTTGGTCTTTTTTTAGACTCGTCATCATTATTTGGTTCAACTATAGTTAATAGAGAACCTTTTTAAGTTTTGTTCACTTAATGAATTAAGATTCCTCTTTTTTACGTATAGATGAAGTTAATATTTGTTTCAAAAGTTCAGAATACGTTAATTTGCAATTTAGAATCCAAAAATCCGAATCCGATTTATACACCATGTGAAATTTCAGCATCCATATACACGGATTCAGGATATCCTAGTTTATTCACGTGAATCAGACCTTGAAAACAAGATATCATGTCCACCTCTTAACAGCATTATTATTTGAAAGAAAGCTAAAAAAGGATAATGTACAATATACAGAAAATGAAAATATGTTTAGAATAGTAACTCGCATCTATTTTCATTTAATTTATCATTTTCATGTTCAGGCAATTGAGTAAGCTAGATTGAAAGATTCTATAAATAATTCTTTTTTTGCATAACTTAGAATTATTCGATCCAATCCTATGCTAACCATCTCTAATTGGATATGATAAAACCAAAAAAGAAAAACACCACAAAAATAATTAGAATTAGTCAGACACAGAATATTTCAAATAAATTTGGTTGGATACAATCATACAAATAGTCGTCATAGTCATGGTCATCCAACCTATAAACATGGGAATACACACCAAAAAGAAAGACTTCTCTCGCCTACAAATATGTAACAAAATGAGTATGAAGTAAAAAACAAAAACAAAACTCGATGAAATGCACAATAACAAAATGAAATTTACCGTATCGTCGATTCGATATACCCTAAATTTCGGGAACCAATTACAAACGACGACAAACCCCACTAAACAAAATTAACTTCAGTTATTACATTACCTTCAAAGAATCAAAAGTCTTTTTTTGGGTGTGTGATCTTCCTTCTTCAAGCTAGTTCATTTCACAAAAGCTTTCTTTTTGTAATCTTTCAAATCCCCAATAGGGTTGATGAAGACAGAATCAACACATAGCCCGCCTTTCGAGTGCGTGCAGTCAATCTGCTTCATGGACCATTGGATCTCGGTCGATGGTTCCGAACCGGTCACTACGAATTCTCCGACCCTGTACTCGATCCAGCAACCACGCTTGTGTTGCCCGAGTGCTTCTTCTCTCTCTACATCCTCCAAGTAATATTCACAAGATGCATCTTGACCATCAGAAGTCGAAAGCGCAAACCTTACCGGCTTTAAATCCCAGCCATGTGTGTGTTCGAAGTGGCACACGCGCCGTCCAAGCCTTTTTGTGAATCTCCCTAGATGGATTCTGAATGATAACGAGTATACACCAGGTGGGAGATGGAATCTCACCGTTCCATCAACTTCGAACCACCAAATCTGCTGTAAGTAGGCTATAACATGGAACCTGTTCAGAAGCAAGATTAACAAAAAGGAGTTTACTTTTTGTTCCACGCTATACCACAAACATAAAAACCAAACTGATACATTACTAAACGATGGATTGTTTGTATCGAGCACAAGTAGAATCTGTATGACGAGCTAAGCTAAGCTAAGCACCTTCTATGGCGTAACGCGATCTCACACTAAACCTGATGTTAATTCACATGCTTTCCCACAGAAAGTTGAATTATTTTTGTTCATATCACAATAGCCTAATCATTTCGCAAAACGAGCAGAATCATCACTACAATAGCACCACAAAATCCTTAATCGTAAAGCTTAGAGAGGAGCATCCATTTTCTGTATTAGCTATTCATCAAAACTCAAAAGCAGAGTCACAAACTTTTTCAAGTCTTATTTGATATGCTTACAAGAGATCATTGTTAAAGAAAGACCTGAGAAACCAAGGATCAACAGCTCAAATGATATTATAATATCACAAAACAAGTATTGAGATGATCTTGACATCTACTTGTTTGATCTTCTAAAGAATTCTACTGAGATTCAATCAGAGATTGTGTACCTCGATTCTTCCGTCTGGATCCAATTCCAATATCTCCGGTCTTCAATTCCAGTTATAGCCATTCCTCTCGCCGAAATCGCCATACAAACCCGTCCTGTAACTCTATCAATCCATAGCTCCTGGGAAAATTAAACCACCATAATTATACGATACAACGAGAAAAACCCTAATTCCCAAATCCAATACATCGAAGCATAAAGGAATCTCACCTTATTATCATCGTCAAAGGGGATTGGACGAGAGAGCACAGCGAAAATATCTTTCTTCGAGAGATTATGATACCTCTCCGGCGGCAACAAATCAAGCAGATCCTGGTAATTCGGCGGGAGCTTCTTCTCCCACACAGAATCCGACGAAGCCGCACCGCGAAATGAGCGACTCAGACCAGCCAGATTGCAAATCTCCGGCGGCGTCAGGTACATAAACACGGAGGCGATGCAGCTTTCCGGTATATCGCCGAGGCCAGGTCCCATAGCCAAAACATTCGTCCCGTCGTTCAGATTCGACAAGGACGAACCCATACCTCTCTCTCTCTCTCTCTCTCCAAACCTCGCTCCTTATAATAGTTGACCGAGCTACACAATACAACACAGCTCCGTACGGTATATCACACAAACTATAAAATGCAATCGCTTATACGCTTCGAATGGATAATCGATGAAGATCGAGAGCCATAGCGGCGAGAAGATACTTTCAAATGTATTTGTTCTCTCTCTCCCTCTCGCTCTCTTCTTTCTCACTGGGGATCTTTCTCGGAAAATCTTTTTTGGACAAGGCGAGAAACGGAGAAAGTGAGGGAAAGGTCTTAAAGAGATTATAGAAAAATAAAAAATAAAAAAAGAGCGGAAAAGGGTGACGTGGGAAAGTTAGGATCGACGAAGAGTACTGTTGCCACGTGGCGGCGCCGAACACTCGTGAAAAGGCCGTTGATTTGGTGTAAAGCATTTTGGAAGAAGAATGTAATTTTATAAGTATCAGTCCAAAAAAAGATTCTTCCTAAGCAAAAATATGTATTTTTTTATGATGATTAGTAAAAAGTGGGGTGTGTCGTAACTTTGATTATCAAAATTGAAACAAATTTTACATTTTTTTCATTCTCCCATTGAAACAAATTTACAATAAATAAGTAAATAAACAATTCAGAGGATGGTATAATTACCAACGACTACTAAATTAGTAAATTCATGAAACTTATACCACACTGTGACTAAATCAGTAAATAAACCATTATGTAATGTTGTTTCTCCATCTACAGCTTGTACCTCTCATTAATGTACTTTTAATTGATGGTTATATCCGTAATCAATTTTTATTTCCGTTTCAAAGCTTTGGGTAAAGTCAGGTTGTGTCTAAATTTAATCGCATGTAATAACTTGGTTAGCAAATTTGTCTTTTCTATGCCAATTCCTCACTAACCCCTTTTGCAAGTTGCAACAATATTAGGAACAACTGTTCAAAAAGAAAGAAAAGAAAAACAATATTAGGAACTCATCTGTGTCAAAAATAACATTGATCGCAAAAGTTCAATTTCTTTACTCCAGTATACTACTGTTTAGTTAGAAACTAATCCTTTCTTTCATTTTATTTTATGTTATGGCACATATGAAAGATCAAAGATCTAAATATCATTAAGTAAACGACCATGAATTAGTATTCTAATTCTTATCAACAAACAACTGGAGATGCTAAGTAGTATCTAATCTAACTAGTATACGTACGTATCTTATATATATCATTCAAGTTTTATTTTTTTGTGGTTTACTATAATCCTAGTTAGGTTCTTACATGTAGATATCAAGATACTATCAACTATAGTATCTTCATGTAGGGTCCTTTTTTAGTTTTGTGATTCTATTTATCCCACGTGATTAAATATTTGGCATCGAGAATCAACATCACTGTATAGACTGCGACAGTTCGATTTAAATTAGAACTCAACGAGTTGTTGTAAAGTTAGAGGGCATCGTTACCACTCCACATCATATGGATGGGAGAGCTCGTGAAAATATCAAATACGAGTCAAAGAGAAAAAAAAACTTCATCATCAGTCATAAATCATAACTCATGAGCATGACTCATGATCGAGCGTGGATGACTATCTTTTTCTTGACAAGTTAAAATAATTCCCGATTAAATCTTCAACCTACCATTGTAATGTTGGTCCCCCAATTGTTTAGCATTAACATTAATTAAAAACCTACCAGATAAATTAAATTGAACCAGAGATAATTGACGCAAAGCAATAAGACTATTTAGGTGATGTACAAACGAATATATAATTTTAAATTTTTTTATGTTTAATTTACAGAAATAACAGCTTTTCTTTTGTTGTCTGTTACATCATCAAGCTGATGATGAAAACGTTATAAATGATCAATTGATTAATTACTTGCAAATGTAACACACGCATATTTTGTGCCCACGAGTCACACGATGGGTGGTTTTACCTGTAGCGTCGTGGTAGAGCATCCGAAATTTTTGAATGTATAGATCTTGTTTCCACTGAAATTTGATGTGGTTTTTGAAAAATGGTAATGCTTATTGGTGTATGACATACACTACTAAAAGAAGAAAGTCTAGACATCATGATGTTAATAACTAATATAACTCTTTTAACAAACAAACAAAAAAAATCCAAGACTCTGGTGTCATTTTTCGTTTTAGCTACGATTCCGGAACGAAATATAATTTTCGAAAATCTATGAACAGTTTTGTATTTTTACCACTATATATCCTATCATTTTTAATATACAGTATAAAGAGATTGGTATAACTTATAACTCTATTTTGGTTTTCTGATATCTAGCCTAAGATATTTTTCTAGAAAGCATGTGCATAGTGAGAAAACAACTATCGACAACCACTTTTCCCCTCATAATAGTAAAATTATTTCAGTATTTAGCTAATCACTTTTTTCGTTGGTTAGTTCACTGCTTTAACGCGAAAATAGTCTAAAAACGATAGAATTTTGCAACAGAACAAAAAATAGGTAATGTTAAAGCTTATTGAATAATTGCTAGACATAGTATATTTTCATCGTAGCTTAAATTTGAACGTAAACCAAATATAGCGAAGAAAAGGGGAACCATTAGAGACATCAAATCTCCTAAAGTACAAAAAACCAGAAGTCCGGAAGATTAATATACTCACTCCGGCTAAAATCGCCATTTTTGTTTTTTTTTGTTTTTTACCTGAGGCAGAGTTATTAATCCTCTAGCTCGATGATCTTGACAACAGATGCATCACCAACTTTCTGACACACCACTACTCTGTCATGAGACTTGATCACTCCAGCTTGCTTCCCGTGGTCTAGAGCAACCTTCAGGACCGACTCGTTCGTCGCACTTGTTGATTCCGCCTGCAACAACAACAACATCATCACAATTTTTTACATATCTTCTTACACTTGTTTCAGCCTCTGAGACCGGCCATTGATTCAACCAGTACATCAAACTTTCAAGATTTACGTAGCAATAATATCGATCCGAAAGCAACAATCTTGGCCTTAGTGTACCACATTTGAGAATGTTTGTTTCTACAAAGCAGAGGAAGAGAGTATGCAAAAGAATTAAGAAAAAAAGGATAACAACACTTACAGGGTGGCGAGGGTCAGCGAGCATGGGGAAGAGGCCTCTCACAATAAGTGACTGTCTCGCCTGATAAAGAGTCACACGTATTAATAGCCTTAAACTATCACATGCACTTCATATATGTGACTATGGTATAAACAGAAACCTCCCTAGATTCTGATATTGCAAAGTAAACAATCACAGCAATACATTTAAGGTGTCGCGTTTCTTGAACGGTGTCCAAGATTGGTGACAGGATATAAGTAAAGATAAAGAAGTCCGCACGCAATAGCTATGAATCATGTCTCTTGAAAAGCAGCAATTTTTATAAGAGAAACTTAAGAGACCCGGGAGAAAACATACCTCAAATGCTCCACTAAAGCTCCATTTGAGCTGATTTGTCTTAACCCGTGGAATGACAACAGATATAACCGGCATTGTAGGCCTGTACTTGGCAATCAACCTGCAAGGACATCAAAGGAATATGCAATTCATTAGACAAATTTGAATAGAACAAATGAAGTGAAAAAAACAGTTTTAAAGGCAAAATGCATGCTATGAAACCTGGCTGCTCTTCCAGAAGATGTGAAGCATATAATAACAGATGCTTTCACCTTTATGGCTGCCCGTACCTGATCAAGCGTGAATTAAGCTAGATTAGATATTGTGATGAACCATTTGCGTCTTAAAACCAGAAAATCTAATCCTTTCTTATGTCTATGCAACACAGAGAACAAACTTACAGCTGAAGAAGCAATTGATTCCAAGTGAGTCATCGGTTCTCCAACATACTTGACAGTCTTCTTGAAGTACAAATCTTGATTGAAAACCTTCTCTGCCTACGAACATGTAGAGAAGCTGGGTAAGGGCAAATCGGATGACAAGCCACAATTTGGTTCCACGTAATCACAAGGTGCATGCTATTTAAAGACGCAAGCAACGAAATGATAGTAAAGAACAATACTATAAAGCCTACCTCAGCACAGATCCTGCCGACAGTTGATATTGTCTCAACAGGGTACAATCCACGAAGGGTCTCAGCACCAAGAAGAATTGCATCACTTCCTGCAGGAATTCAAATGGAAGAAGAAACCACAATCACGACAAGAGCTATTATCCAGAAAATAGTTTTTCCCTCCACCATTTCATAACAATGACCAAACCAAGCAGATTCTACTATAAAACGCTAGAATCACCAACAAAAAAGAAGCATATCCAAGGATTCACATACCATCTAAAACAGCATTAGCAACATCCGTTGCCTCTGCACGAGTTGGTCGCAAGTTGTCAGTCATACTGTCAACAACACGGGTAAGAACAGCTGGCTTTCCAGCCATGTTGCACTTGTAAAGGGCCGCCTTTTGAAACAAAAACACCTGCAACAGAACCAACCAATGTAATTATAAGACAGTGTAAAGTTTGGTGCCGGACAAATCAATTCGAATGACCAACCAACATTACCTTCTCCGGGGGTAGATCTATTCCCAAATTGCCACGAGAAAGAATAATCCCATCAGCTTCTTGTAAAATCTCATCAAAGTGAGTTAATCCCTGAATTTAAATATAATATCAGCAGCTTACTCCTCAGGCGACAATGAAAGAAAAAGTTACAGAAACATAATATAATGCAAAAGGAAAGTAATACATTGCACATACCTCTACATTCTCAATCTTTGCAAATATTTGTGTTTGGGAGAGGTCACCCAACTTCTTAAGCATTTCACGGGTCTGTGTTATGAAACAACAACTGGTTAGTGGGTTTTACACAGAACAACAACCGCAACAACCGACGGGAAGCATATAAATACTGACCCGGCGAACATCCTCTGCGTGTCGACAATACGACAATGAAAGAAAATCTATCTTGTTTTGAACTCCCCATGTGCTAATAACCTAGATGGCAACCAAACCAAAACAATGTGGTCAAACACTTAACCAAAAAGTTCAAAAATGAAAAACAATCACTGGATTTGTAGATTAGACACGAAATCTTACCTCCTTATCCTTATCCGTAAGAGTTGGCATATCGATGTGAACTTGAGAGACGTGTAGAGTGAAGAGAGAACCAGCAAGAGTAGCTGCATTCCTTGACAGGCAAATGACATCATCTCCTTTAACTTCATCAACCTGTAGGGTTCGTTTGGGAGTTTAGTCTTAAACCACATAAATCAAAATGCAAACACACAGAAATACCAATAGAGAGCCAGCTCCATATAATTACCTCGAGCCACACTGAAGTTGTTTCACTACCAGTGAAGAGGTATTGCCCAACAAAGATAGTGTCTCCTTTCTTCACTGCCTGGAAACATCGAACAGGAACACCCATCAGACACTAAACCATTGATTATAAAAATATCTCATTCTTTGATAAGAGTAATTAGAGAACCTTGGCAAGGCCGTCGAAGTTAATTGGGAGGACTTCAGAGGAGGCTTCTTGGTCTTGACTCGGTGTCAAAGTTACAAGGCCATCAGCTTTAAGAGTAATAGCTTTCTCAGTTTTGTTAATAACTTGAAGCTCAGGTCCCACAGTGTCAAGCATAACCTAAAGAAAAGGAGACATCAATCAAATCAGATGAAACTATATCAAATCAAATGGATCCACTAGGAGGAAAAGCAAAGCAGAGAGAACATACAGCACAAAGCTTCTTAGTGCTCTTCACAGCAACCTTCAGGTTATCAAGTGTCTCCTGGTGATAATCAGCGTCTCCCCAAGAGAAGTCGAATCGAGCCACTGCTCAAAAGAAAATCAAAGGAATAAGTAAGTATCAGTGTCACTAACCCGTTCGCAAAATGGAGAAATATACACAGAACAAGTAAATTACCGGACATCCCGGCTTTGAGGCAACCGGAGAGAGCATCGACGGATCGGGATTTGGGACCGAGGGTTCCGACGATCTTAGTCAATGCTGGGAAAAAACTCTGAGGAATACATCAAAATAATCAGAAAACTTCTAGAAACCAAATCGGATCGGAGAGAATGAACGATTTATGAGCAATCGATCTAGCCGCAACCGCAAATCGATGAAGAAATAGGAATTTAAAGCCATCAAGCAGAGGGAGAGAGAGCGCTCACAGATTTGGAAGGCTCGAGGATCGAAGCCATCCTAATCGGCTCCTCGAGAAGAAGGTGGCTGGAATGCATCTTCGGTGACCGGAGAGTATGAGAGATCTCAGATGTTCGACGGCCACGAGAGTGAGAAAAAATGGACGGGAGAGGAAGCTGTGTGATGTTTGGTGCCTCCTTTATGAGATTGTGATTGACCGTCGAATCTCCGTTATAACAACACCGTTCAATGATATTATGCAAATGAAAAGTAAAGGAAAAAGAAACAACAACTCCTAACTTTTCTTTTTTTAACCTAAATACTCTGAATTTATTACAAATTATACCCATATCTTTTCTTTTACCACTTTTAACCCATTTGTTTTTTTTTCGGGAACTTTTTAACCCAAAGATTCCCGAGAAGAGGTTTCTTGATCTTGATTCCGTGTCAAAGTTACAAAGGCCATCAGCTTTCAAAATTCAAAGTAATATAGCTTTCTCAATGATCTTGTTAATAACTTGTATGTCAGGTTCCATAGTATCGTGTATAGCTTAGAACCATACACGATATTATATATCCGTGCTAATAGCATTTTCTTTGGTAGCATTTAAGAACATTACATTATTCTAGTTTTATACATCTCCATGTTCTTTCATCCATATAAATATATAATATACAATATATTTGATATTTTATTTGCTGTACAATATAATTTGTCACATAGACGATTCATCACTGTAGTGATATTACACATACACTTTTCTAAACCTTGTTCTTAAAGCTACACGGATCGGATTGTCATATGATACAAAGAAATATGATCCAGCCTTGCATAACAAAAGTTAAAAAAAAAACAAATACAAAAAGCAACCATCATAAAGTGATAAAACATTTAATTAATTTCGACTAGTATATAATAACTATATATATTATCATAATAATCCTTGTACTTCATGTTTCTTAAACTCTCATATTGTAGCTGAAGCGCTGAAGCAATCAGCTCCTTTATGTTGTGAGTCTCTATGTCTCCCTTTTTTTTCCATCTTTGATGTTATTGCTAAAGAACCTAAAGTTTCCATGCCATTGACCAAATCATCTAAAACCCAAATTAAGAAGGTGATGAAAAAACAAATAATGATTCGATTTGACTATATTTTGGGGAATTTGATCTAACCTTTATGCTCCTATCTCAATTCTTCCTTTTGGTTAGGTATCACTGATCTATCTCTCTCTCTCTCTCTATGTAACCGTCGAAATCTCCTTCCCGAAAAGGGAAGAAAATGGACTCTCGGGTAGATCTAGGACCTGACTGTCCAATGATTCACACTGCATCCTCCTGAATAAAAACATATCATATGATCAACCTAACAAAAAATCATTGACATTATTAGATCAAAGTCATTGCACATACCGATCAATTTCTTTGTAGTTAGTGCTTATGTTCATGACATGATCCTCGGTGTTTAGATAATCCAGGAGATAACTCAATCGTCCCGCTTGTTCTTCTTGTTCCTCTACAATTAAACAAGAACTTGATATGTATTTCTGAAAGTGAGATTATATTATGTTGTAAGCAAAGGTATAATTACCATCTCTTGTTAGCTTGAGGTCGTTGGAGGAGAAGCCGAGATAGGAGTAATTAGTAGGTAAGGACTTAGAAATTGATTGATCGTGTTCCTCAAGAAACTGCCTCCTCATTAGTCTTGAGCTTTCGCTAACCCGTGGTGGAACTTAATCAACACAAAAAGAAACAGTTTAGATGAAACCGTAAAGCCAAGATTAGTATATAAGTGTATATATATACACACGAAGAAGAAAAGATTTTGTGAATGTACTAACAAGTGTTCATCTCTAAGTCTCTGTCCATATATTGTTGAGAGTCGTATCGGATGTCGTGAAGAGGCTTGTTGTTGTCGAAGTATCTACTGGACCGTGATTTCTCCCGGTACGGCTTGACGAGGACACGAGCCCCGCAGATGAAGTGAGGATTGCCTTTAGCAAGAATGTGTTTCACGGTCTCCGTGTAAGCAAACGTTACAAATCCAAACATTCTCTTTTGCTGACAAGGAATCCTCACATCCTCCACTGGTCCGAATTTGGAGAAGTAGTTTGAAACATCATGATCGGTGAAACTACTCTCTGCCGGAAACGTTAGGTAAATCTGCCTAGAACCTGCAAGGATCGCTCCGTGTTCGTTTCTCTCTCCCATATATTCCACAAACTTTGATACATCTTCCGCTAGTATAACCGAATGTTGCCCATGTGGCCTGCAAAAATACAAACACCATTTACATAATATTTGGAGTTTGAAAGCCTTGACCTACAAGGCACAAGTCTTGTTCTCCAAGTTATCTCTGTACATAAAGTATGCATTTGTAAGTAACCTGTCGATGAGGCGGATGGTGTTATTCAAGCGAACAAGAAGCTTGGTGAGGCTATAGCCAGCTTTGCCGTGTCTTTGTGACTCCGTGAGATATCCTTCAGCTTGAAGGGTCCTACCGTACTTCTCGTAGTACATCATTGGCAACGAAGCTATTGAAATCGGAGCGCCTCTTCTTGATTTGAGCAGCTCGATGATCTCTCCTTCTAGTTTCTCAAGTGATCCAGCGGAAACAACATGCTCTTCGTCGCTTAGGTTGTTGTTGTTGTTTGGATTAAACATCTGAGCAAAACTCTCTCTCTCCGGTATGACTTGACCGTGGAAATATCTGCAGTTGTTGCCGTGTTTGCAGAATCCTTTGCTGAAGTAGTGGCAGATTTTGACCGGAAACTCCGGTAAACTCGGTGATCTCCTGCTGGTTCTCAGAGGCGAACTTTGCTTCTCGTGAGGGAAGAAACCGGTTGAGAATTCAGGGCTGGTCAGAGAATCCTCAAAGTTCAAGAACTGAACATTGTTCTGCAAGGAATCCATTTCGTTTGAATTCTCCCAGAAACCGGATCTCATTGAGAGAACCGAAGGAGGAGAGACGGAAACCGGAAGAGATTGGGATGATAAACCGGTGAATGATGACCCGAATTTACGGATAGGAATGTGATCAGAGGAAGGAATGTGGTAACGAGAGCTTTGAGCCAGTTCGTATTTAACACAGTTGATCATGGAACGCATCACGGAATCTGGACAGAAGGCGACACGGATCATGTCACGGTCACTATGGTCTTGCATCAACAAGAGATAACCGATGATCTTTGATGCATTCTCTGGTTCAAGCTGTTGGATCCTGTTGTGCACAACATTCATAGCTTCTGTGAAATTCATCTTTATTCTGTTGTCTCAAAACCCCTCCCTGCAGAGCAAAATCATTCAAGATTTTCATTATTTCCGAACTCTTGTACGTTAAAACCAAGAGTAGAAGAGTGAAACTCACTCATGAACGCACTACAATGTTTATGGATAGATAGAAGACGAACAATGAGATATCTAAGTCGAGAATATGCAATCAAAACAACAGTTTCATCTTAGAAACAATCCTAATATTTTTCTAGAATTTACTATAACATCATAAAGTTATATACCATTCCATTCGGAAACCTAACAGCTTAGCAAAAAACCTCTGGAAAAGAAAAAAAACAGTGTGGTTTCCCCAAAATTATTGAACTTATCGTATCAGCTTTAAAATAAATAAAATAATAACAAACGATTATCAGAAATTAGGAAAATTGATTACCTTAAAAAAGGAGAAGGGTCTGGGAATGGAAGAAAGAATTTCTTTTGATGAAACAGAAAAAAAAAAAAGAAAAACAAATGAAACAAACAAAGATCAAGCACTCCTTTCCCCTGGCCGTTGGATTCTCTTCTTGCAATCAGAGTTTTGTTAATTTTGAAAATATCCCTTCTCTTCTTCTTCTTCAACTTCCTCTGACTTTGTTATACGTCTGTATGTTTAAACAGTTTCTAAACAAGTAGAACAGAACACAACAAACATTCTTAAAAAGGACAAAACAGTGAGACAACAGTTTTTTCACTTCACTTTTGCCCTCTCTCTCGCATATATAGTATACACAGATCTGATACCTATACGTGTGTATATGTATACATATTCCTGCCAATTATAGCAAATAAATTAACTATAGTGATCTCCGGAGAATTTGGTTGTGATCTCTCTGACTTAGTTGCTTCTACGAGATCTTTTAGTTATCTTATCTCTTTTTTACACAGTGGGCTTCAACAAAATTGATATGAAAAATTCACATTCTGTAAAATGATTTTGTTTAACAAGGTTGATATTATTATTATTTTTATCTTAATCACAAATTTAATATGCTTCGTAGGCGGTGATTTTCATAATTTTAGATATTTGTAGTTACGCAAACTCTGTAAACAGTTAGATTGTAATTCGTATGTTCAAACTTACAAAAAAAAATATTTTAAAAAATCAATGATTCTAGATAATATTAAGTTATTAACTATATATATGCGCATAACTAATTATAGAAACTGTTGATACATGCCCTGACAAATATAGAAAATCAACACGATGATCTCGACGAATTTTGTTCGAGGTCTCTCTGACTTAGTTTCTCCTCTTTTTTTTACCAGATCCTTTATTGTTTTGTTTGAAAAAAAATTGCTCTCTACACATGAGCAAAAGTGGGATGATGAAGAACTCACATTTTTGTTGTCCACAACAAACTCTCCTGACGTTCTAGAAGAGTCATCATTGGGCCAATTCTAGTTTTGTCCCACTTAATTAATTGCTATGATCATCGGATGTGTTAATGGGCTTTAATTACATGATAAATTAGCTTACAAGTTAGAACTCAAAAACATACTTTTTCCAAGCGATTATCCGAATAAAGATTCCTAACATAATAGCGACAAGATTCGTCATGATATCAATACATTATTGACAACTTTATACTATTTAGACTATTTTCTAAGTAATGTACTATTTTCTATAAAAGAAAACCAAAACAAATAATTAAACAATTAGTGCTCAATAGACGTTACATTTTATACGTGACACGAAACCTGATGCCTATAAAGCAAAAACGTTTAGTGCTCAATTTTCAAACAAGAAAAATGATCACACAATTAACGATGAACGAGTTCATCGGAATATATACATCTATTGCCCTCCTAATATACGTTACATGCCTCCTCCACATCAGACGTCGTATGAGACTGCCTCCGGGACCAAGTCCCTGGCCGGTGATCGGTAACATGTTCCAGCTCGCCGGTTCGCCGCCACACGACTCACTGACTAAACTTTCACGGCGTCACGGACCAATCATGACTTTGCGGATCGGGTCGATGCTGACGGTTGTGATCTCTTCGAGCGAAGTGGCTCGAGAGATTTTCAAGAAGCACGACGCGGCTTTGGCCGGACGGAAGATTTACGAGGCGATGAAAGGAGGCAAGAGTAGCGAAGGCTCGCTAATCACGGCTCAGTACGGTGCGTATTGGCGGATGCTGCGGCGGCTCTGCACCACTCAGTTCTTTGTCACCCGCCGTCTTGACGCTATGAGTGACGTACGGTCCAAGTGTGTTGATCAAATGCTTCTGTTTGTCGAGAAAGGTGGACAAAACGGTACGTATTCTAATAATATCATCATAATTTTACCTGTTCATCAATATATAGATAGATGGAATACCAATTTCACGTTTCAGTAGATATTTTTGTTTGAGTGTTACCATATTCATTTTGTATTCCAAAATATATAATTTGAGGCCCTGATATTCAAGAGGATCTAGATTCAAAAATATATATATAAACTACACAAAACTGATTTGAGACCCTATTTTCATAAAAAAGTTTTACCACATCAACTATACGTTCGATGAAAAGTTGCAAAAGATTTTTAAATAGTTTAGGGTAGGCTTAACTATTAAAAAATTATAATAAATGGAACTGCTTAGTTTAACCAAGAAAAAACAGATTGTATATTCTTCTTACCAGTGATAGTCTAATTTAAAATAATCTCGATCAATAGAATCTCTCAAACTTTCAAAACGTCTCGTTATACCCCATATATATATACTTTCGAATTAGAAGCTAATACTATATATATTTTATCATTAGGTACAAAAACTATCGACGTGGGGAGATATTTCTTCTTGATGGCCTTTAATCTCATAGGAAACCTCATGTTCTCGAGAGATTTGCTTGATCCCGATTCAAAAAGAGGCTCCGAGTTCTTTTACCACACCGGAAAAGTGATGGAGTTCGCCGGGAAACCCAACGTTGCCGATTTCTTCCCTTTCCTAAGGTGTCTTGACCCACAAGGCATCAGAAGAAAAACGCAATTCCACGTGGAAAGCGCGTTTAAGATCGCCGGAGAGTTTATCAGAGAAAGAACGGAGGTTAGGCAGAAAGAAAGGAGCGACGAGAAGACGAAAGATTACTTAGATGTTCTTTTGGAGTTTCGTGGTGGCGATGGAGTCGACGAAGAACCTTATAGGTTCTCTGCAAGAGACATCAACGTTATTGTTTTTGTAAGTTATACATATCTCTCTGTTTCTTCCAATTTATGTTATGAAAATTGTCTTTAAAACAATATTCTTGATTATATTTAGTTTATTAAGAAAAAAACGTAAAAATATTTTATGTTCTATCTTATATTTTGGTAGGAAATGTTTACGGCGGGAACGGACACGACAACGAGCACTTTGGAGTGGGCACTAGCGGAGCTTGTACATAACCCAAGAACCCTAACCAAACTCCAAACCGAACTCCGAACCTACTTCAAATCCCCGAACCAAAAGCTACAAGAAGAAGATCTACCGAACCTCCCGTATCTCTCAGCGGTTATCATGGAAACCTTGAGGCTGCACCCACCACTTCCTTTCCTGGTCCCACACAAGGCCATATCGACGTGTCACATTTTCAACCAATACACCATCCCCAAAGAAACACAAGTCTTGGTCAACGTTTGGGCCATTGGCCGTGACCCTAAAACATGGGTCGACCCGATTATGTTCAAACCCGAGAGATTTATATCCGACCCGAACCCGAGAGACTTCAAGGGACAGGATTTCGAGTTCTTACCGTTCGGGTCGGGTCGAAGGATGTGTCCGGCTTTGCCTTTGGCGTCACGGGTCTTGCCGTTAGCCATTGGGTCGATGGTGAGGTCGTTCGATTGGACCTTGGCCAATGGGCTTAACGCAGAAGAAATGGATATGGGAGAAAGGATTGGTATTACATTGAAAAAAGCTGTTCCTTTGGAAGCCATTCCTATTCCTTATCGAGGGAGTTAGATTCGAGATTTGAATTCTACTTCTGTTTTCTCTTTGTTTTTCTTTACATGCACGTAAATAGTTAAAAACACTGTGTCGGTTATTGTCGGAGATTTGATTAACTGTGTCGGTTCAATGACAAAAGCTTATAAATAGTAGTTTATTCAGCTATTTGTGCATCTATGCATACGTAGCACGCATTTACCATTATATGCAAAATTAGCTGATACCAACCCAACGTCCTTTCCAAAAGCCATGACTTTTTTTAGGCTCTCCCCAATTTCCACAGACCATTTAAAATTATATATCAAATAAAATCAGGTGTACAATAATATACAGAAACAAGTTGAATTTGAAAGATATTTTTCGAGTAAATGTCAAGAACTCAATTCAGTTTCCGAAACTTGTATTCAAACTGTACTTTACTAAGTTGTTGTCATTGGACAATGTGTCAATTTCACTAAGAACTTCAACAATTACGCTATTTGGTGGTACTTATCAATCAAATTAAAAGAAAGTCAAAACACAGAAAAACTAACCCAAAAGTAGCAAATTCGAAGCAAACATACGACTTTTAAACGCTTCCGATTATTATTATTATTATTCCGTTACAGATCCGATGATACGCTGAACCTGAAGCTCCACAGATGCGAAAAGAGCAACAAAAACAAAAACAAAAAAACACAGAGAAAGTGAGGAAAATCAGAAATCACAGAGCTTTAAGCATATCCTCGGCACTACTGTTGGTGAAAGCGCCTCCTTCCTCAAGATTCAGAACCTTCACGACGCCATCTTCCGCCAGAATCGCGTATCTACGCGACCTGACTCCGAGTCCCACAGGCTTATCCCTCAAATCCAACTCGACTCCAAGCTTCCCAGTGAATTCTCCGTTTCCATCGGAGAGAAGCATCACCTCGTCGTTGATTCCGAGGTCCTTCCTCCACGCTTCCATCACGAACGCGTCGTTCACGGAGATGCAGGCGATGACATCGATGCCTTTAGATCTGAGCTCTCCTGCCTTGGAAACGAATCCGGGGACGTGTTTCTGCGAGCAGGTCGGCGTGAAGGCTCCGGGGACGGCGAATAGGATGGATTTCTTCCCGGCTGTTAGGGAGGAGACGGTGACTGTTTTGACATCGCCGGTGGCGGGATCGAGGTAGGAGAGAGTTGAGTCTGGGAGCTTGTCTCCGACGGAAATGGAGGCGGAGACGGTCGCCGCGAAGGATCTGGTGGAGACGGGGGTGGAATTGAAGCGGCGGCTGCGGAGTTTGAGGGAGAGATTAGGAGCGAGAGAGCGCGTGAAGGAGAGCGGTGCGGTGAAGGTTGCGCTGGGGAGAAGTAACGGCTTAGCGACGGAGATGGCGGTGGCTGAGGAGGAGGTGAGGAGTCTGGAGACGGAGAGAGAAGTCGCCATGGATGGTGTTTAGCGGTTCAGATGAAATGTTGTTGTTTGGTCAGTGACTCAAGTTTGTGATTTTCTCGGATGAGTAGAGTGATGAAAGGCTCTGTTGCTATTGGGCCTGTTGCACATAAAGGGGCCTATTTGGTAGTTGTATACACCCGCTGGGCCTCTTAAGCTCATTGTTATCTAAGATTAGAATATTAAATTCCTTTTCATAATTTAAGCGAATACACTAATTGCTAAAAGAATAAGCGGATATCCTAATTGCATCTCGTTATTGAGTTATTTAATTGTCTGTTAACTGATAAAAGTCCAAAAAAAATATAAACTTGAAAATGCAGGCTGTGGGGTTCGAACCCACGCGCACTTATGTGCAGAAGAACTTAAGTCTTCCCCCT